TATGTGCATAAATAACACGTGATAGAAGATGTTGTCAAGGGTGAGTCAGAAAAAAGAAACTCAAATGGCATGAGCATTTTTTAATGAAGTTCTGCATTAAGCACATTCAAAAATCTAGGATATGAAAGCCCAATTAATACACTTTCTTTTAGTTCAAGAATCATTCAAATCACTCGTGTATTTTTCAAGATACGTAATTTTAAACACAAACACCGTTTTAGGGTTCTATCCACGGATCACAAAACAGTGCGTACTGTTAGTTCAGCAAATTTCACATAGGGATGTATATGAGTTGTTTTTCGTTTTGCTGAAAGAACACTTACCTTTTTTTTGTGATCTGTGGACAGAACTTTAAAACGGTATTTTTGTTCAAATTTCCGTAACTTGAAAAGTACATTAGTGCTTTGAATGATTCTTGTACTAAAAGAAAGCTTATTAATTAGGCTTTCATATCTTGATCGTGAAGGTGCTAAATGCAGAACTTCATTTAAAAAATGGTCCTGGCATTTGGGTTTCCTCAATTTTTTATTTTTTTTTACTATGTATTCAACTGGGAACCAATAATACATTTAGAGTATATGCTATTGTCGATAATACAGGGGCCGTTTGACTTGCATTTTTATCGTACTCCAAGAGTAACACTTGTTATGTTTATGAAATAATCATTTAATAATTTTCATCTTTAAATGAACATTAGTTAATGTAATTGAAAAAAGTGGAAAACTATTTGCTGGAGTTTATACGAAAAAGATTCAATACTTTGCTTTTCTATTTCTCCAATTGAATGCAAAGTCTTCAACACTGTATGTGCCAAACCTTAATACCGAGTTATTCTGTGTAGCTAGGTCTCATATCACTATTATTCAGATAAAATAAAGATAACCCCACCACCAAAAACAAAGATAACCCCACCACCGACCCGAACTTTGCTCAAGGCGGCACAATTGTTAATCATTACAATTTCAACTGATAATCTTTTCAGGATCTTTAATAATGTTTGTGTTTTGATAAGACTTTAAAAGACCAAGTGGCGTCATGTACGTTCACCCTAAGCCACATATGAAATAGTTGTCGGTAATTTTTTTCCGTACCCATACACATATTTTTTTCAAATTACCATAGACTATTTCAATGAACAGGTGTTGTCAATTTAATCGATTTTTTTGTACGCATGACACTCGTAACGGTTTTATGCAATGTTTTCTCATCGATAGACTCCCGTTGCCATGAACTTGCCAGGCAAAATAGTCCAGCTACCATAAACAAAATCGGACAGGATGTAGTTATCACGCAAAATGATGTGTGAAAACAGTTAACCCTTTTTATAGAAACCTGAATTTTTTACGCACATTGGCATGGACGTTTACTAGTACTAAACTACAGGTAGAAGGCTCTTATAACATAATCAAAACACAGGCAATGATTAAGTCTAACAATCGCTACGACATCTTTAATAGACAATTTGTTTCGAAACACCGTTCACAACCACTTTTGCAGCCGACACAAAAGAAAAACAAGTCTCCAATATCCTGCCATGTGAAAACATACTGGATGATTTTCCTACATGGACTAACATTACAGGCCGTACTTTAAGCGGGTCACTCGAATGATATGTCTGTGAGAAAGAATAAAACTCCGTTTCCCCAGCCTTGCCTATAAGCCCAGTCTGACTATATTTCCCGCAGGTACATCGTAACGCATCTATTACCGTGCCTCAAGGCCTTGCCATTGTTCCCGATTGTTTGTGTTGTATAATGGTCACCTTTCGCTTCGTTGAACAAACCGAATAAGCATATTTGTCCATAAAATGTGATATGCAATTTTGGGGGTTATAGGCTATATAGGCCAAGAGGGATCATGTTTACAGCGAAATGGATTTGAGTTATTTTCGTCTGACTTTGAAGTTGGGATGCATATTCAAGTATTAAGTGCTAAACGTATACAAACCAAAACATTTTAATATCGTTTTGTTGACAAAGTTATCACTATCGTTCTGTAAGAAACATATTAGTTTACGGTTAAAACATAACTCCGAGGGAAGGACGCATAAACTCAGGGTAAACATTCATTTTTAACCAAACTTTAAAAAGTAAGGGAAAAGAATGACAAATTTGTGTGGTCACAAAACCAAAGTATGCCCTATACATTTTCATTTGTAGAATTATCTTTTAATTCTCTTTTTTTCCCCACGTATTTATTCCACGTATTATTTTCACCTATTATTTTCCACCTGTTATTCAAGTGGAACGGTCCCAACAGTTCTCTTTTATAAAGGAAATCTGAATATCAATCGAAGTCATTACAATAATGACAGATGAATACATTCATTACAATTCCTATACATGCAACAAATGAAGCTTTTTATGGCGTCGGTCTTGCAGTCTATGGTGCACAATAGTAAATTATTGGAACTCAGGTCAAGAACCCCCTACAATTCCCATCCATAGGCGGGGTTGCACATTCACACTGTAATCTATAGCAATACTCTTTTCTCCACACCGGACCAATCCACCCCTATAGCTGTTATGTAATGTTCTATATCATGAATACAAAACTTTGCTCTCTAATTTTTATAAGGTTCTTCGAAAGATCAATTAAAGTTAACTGAAAGGTCATCTAATTTTGCCGTCTTAATTACTATTTGTAAACATAGCATTGGAAAACTTAGTGGTGAATGTGGCCTATACTCTTAGTTCCAAAACAGGCAACAACGCAACATGGGCACATAATATCGGCTGCTCCTTTTACTGTTTGCTGTACTTTGGACGCAAAGTTCTAGTCCACACAAGGATTGTTTTTTTCGCTCATTCCTTCGTTCCACGCAACAAACAACTAGGTTAATTAGCAGAAATGACAATTCCACAATATTACAAATCGAAAAGAAATAATCTTACCAATTTTTTTGAAGCGGTTAAATCTCCGTTCACTTGCGCGAAATGGTGTTCGAGTTTAGCTGGCAATGTGGGTACTGGTTGTGTACATCAACTGCTATCATATATAAATGATAACTGATCATCACACGACCACAACTAGTCGATATTCGGCAACCAGACAACGGCTGTTGTATGAACCAAACCAAACTCTCTTGTGACCCGCACACATGAATACGTAGAGTAACGTTTGATTTACCAAATAGTCGTGGACTTCTTCGTGTCACGCCCTTGTGACCTTTAGACTTTATTTAAACAAAATGCTGAATAATTTTGATGAATGCACTTTGGCGTAGGAGGGCGGGGACTGGGTGTATTTGTACTCGATCTTTTAGTCAACCCCGCATGCATCGTGCGTAACAAGAACCATATCAGTCATAGTCAGTGACCCGTCAACAGCTTGTGGCTCCACGTCGTTAAGGCAATGACCATGAAAGGGTGAACAACGCCCTCATTCGTTTCTTCAACACTATTTTTGCTTTTGACTGGTCCCCATACAATATGGGGACCGGTAGCTAGTTCCCATTTAAAAAGCCATTTATTGGATCACCTCTGCGCGTGTGCAACATGATTGTTATTGTTGAGAACGATGTTGACAGCTTTGCGCATGAATGACCATTGAACACATAAACAAAACTCAATCTCACCATAATCAGTAGGCAAAATCACCAGTGTCTCCACGAAAGCAACTTTTCAACTGCAAAAATACTGAAAAGTAATGCCTCTCTCTTTATTGATTGTTTTAGTGAAAATCGAAGCTCATCACCATACACTGTTGTAGCCTTTTGTTGCCATTTTACAGTAGAATGGAGGAAAACCTGATGTTTTCAGGATTCATTGCACGGTACCAGTCCTCCCTACATTCGAAGTCCAAAGGACAACGGAGGGACCGGGAACAAGTCTATTTGTGCTTCTCCCAGGTTTGAAAGCATGCACTGCACGTAGACGGTTCTGGTTCTAGTTCTAGTTCTGGTTCTGGTTCTGGTTCTAGTTCTGGTTCTAGTTCTGGTTCTGGTTCTGGTTGAGTCGGTAAAATTCACTGAAGAATAGCACACCAACTTTTGACCTTATGACTCGCATGGAGTGGATGTGGAGATGACCTTAGCAAATTGCCTTAGTTGTCCATGAAGTGCTTCGATGCACTATCCTTGAATGCAAATAGTGTTCTACCGTTGACGACGTTGGCTGGCAACTTGTTCCATTCTGTAATGGTTCTCGGGAAGAAAGAGATCTTGTAGGCTTCCTTAGTTGCCTGTCGTTTGTAGAATTTGTGTTGGTGCCTCCTGGTATTTCTTGTGTTTACGGCGAGGTGCTCTGCTCGTGAGATGGCAACCAGCTCGTGTTTGGTTTTGTAGAGCATGGTTAGTCTTTATCTTACGCCCTTTAAGGCCTCCCCACTTGAGGTGCTCAAGGATTCAAGTGACTGTTCCCTCTTCCTCACTGTGATTCTTTGTGCATGTCACGGCATTTCACGATCAGGATTATTGCTATGATCATAGAGCTACATGAAAACGGCCTTCGTGCACAAGTACCCCCTCAACGGTAACAAAGGGAGAGTTGGGGAGACCTATAGAGTTATAATAAAATTACTAGAGCGCTAACTCCTCATTCTCACGCACAGAGACACTTAGAAGCTGCTCTGAAATCTTGACTTGAACAAAAATATAATAATTTGCCTTCAGTGTCTCATTGACAATTTATGCATTCCAGGAGCCGTTCGGTGTATTTGTCTATAAATCACTTGTTCATAAAATGTTACATTTTGAATAATAATGAGACGCCGATAAAGAGGGCGGGGGGGGGGAGGGTTCGAACCCCCCCCCCCCGCTCTGACACCAATAACAAATCATAACAATTATACTAATAATTACCTATAATGTCCGCCTGTCCGCAACACTCGGACATAAACAAAATTGACGGGCCTGACCCCCGACCCTGCAAAAATTCCTGGATCCGCCCCCTGATAAGTATGAATGAATGCATATACAATGTATATTATCCATAAAATTTTACAGTCTGAATAATTCATGAATTCACAGTCTTTAATTTCATTTTGGTCGTCGTAAAGTCAACTACTGAATATCAGGCCTCGTCAGTTTCGAAAATCATTCAATACCATTCATTTGATCGTATATAGCTAGTCAACATTTAAGCTAAGAGATTTACCATTTGAAGCAGCGTTACTGCGATCATTGCTTAGACAAACAGTGGCATTCCAGCACCAAACTCTTAAAGACGCTTCTCTTGCATCAATTTGGTAACGATGAGCTACCAAGAACTTGACCAGACCCGCCACGTCTTCCAGGCAGCCGATTACGCCGTCTGCGGCGCAATGCTGCTGGCCTCTCTCGGCATCGGCTTCTACTACGGCCTGAGGGGCGGTAGGCAGCGGACATCGGCCGAGTATGTCCTGGCCGACCGCAGTATGACCGTGATCCCCGTCACTCTCTCCCTGCTCGCGACGATGTTCTCCGGTATCAGCTTGCAAGGCTTCGCCGCTGATGTCTACTTCAGAGGGACCATGCTGATCTGGCTGATCGCATCGAACATCGTCTTTTCTGCTGTCGCTTTTTACGTTTTCGTGCCGATGTTCTACAACCTGAGAATAACGTCCATATTTGAGGTACGGTGCGTATATGCTCAACATATTTTATTATACGCCTAACAAGTCTGTAAATGTGCGTTTCTTTTAAGTTGAAAACAACTTTAAAGTATTGTCAAAAGACAAAATTGACTGTACATGCATGGAGTTCCCTATGAATTCTACAACAAAATAAAAGAAATAACGACCCCAACTATAATTGTTCATTGTAACATAAGAGTAATGACAAACAAAGATGCAGGAACAATATTATTTTATGGGTGGTGCTTTGTCATAAAAAATTATTCAGGTAGAACATGTTTTACCATCCAACTGAATAATAATCTTCGGATTGTGACTATGCGAATTTTTTCATATGGTCGTATTTATTTATTCATTATTATCCAGTGTACGTATGCCCAAAACAATTAAACACTGGTTTCCACTGGAGGCCGTGCATGCATTACAAACAACTACACTCAATAAACTATCATCATTCCCTTGTGTGTTTCTCTTCGTTTTGCGACACATAAACCTAACCCCAAGATGCCTCTAAACCTGTTTTTCAGAGAGGGGGAAACCTTATGTGGACGTGGGCAAGTCCACACAACGTATCTGGTTTATGTGGACATCTTTTGTTTTGGAAGTCCACACGGTGAATGTAATGGTTTTACACCACACCACCACACCCACCCACCACACCACACCACACCACACCACACCACACCACACCACACCACACCACACCACACCACACCACACCACACCACACCACACCACACACACACCACACCACACCACACCACACCACACCACACCACACCACACCACACCACCACACCACACCACAGCAAACCACACCACACCACACCACACCACACCACACCACACCACACCACACCACACCACACCACACCACACCACACCACACCACACCACACCACACCACACCACACCACACCACACCCAACCACCAACACCACACCACACCACACCACACCTAATCACACCATACAAGCACATGGGTTTCGCTGTGGGTTTCCCTTCAGTAATTCAAATGAAAAAGAAAGAAAACTAAAACTAATTATTTATTTAAACGATAACTATTTCATAATTTTCTTCTTCTTTGTATTACAGTATCTGGAAGCGCGATTCAACAAGGCTGTGACAGCGTGTGGAATATTCGCATTCACACTGCACTCGGTAAGTTTTGTCTTGTTGTCCTATAGGTGTTACTTGTGCTTTGTTGCCCCCCCCTAGAAAAAATCCTGGCGACGCCCATGCACACCGCGCGTGCGTACTAGTTAGCGCGCGTATCGCGCAAAGTACGTACGACTCATTTTTTTCTGAATTGCACAATTAAAGGGTATGTACATCATTGGCTTTTGCTGTAATTTTCAAAAATGATCTATTTGAGGGGTTAATATAATAGATCAAATATTGTTACACTGACATGTTTGAAATTTTGTGTTTAAAAATGCTGGAAAACCAAGAAAAACAAAAATGTTCAAGTAGTCTGGTTCCCTGACTCCACTAAAGATGAAATGGATCAATGTATTGATGCCGGAAAATTGTAAGGTAAGGTCTAGCTGGCCTGCACCCGTTCATGAACATGTAACCAATAGCAAACAAAATTTGGACTGAAAAAAATTGTAAATTTGGAGCAGTAGTTGAAAATAGTTAGGTTTTTCCAAGGGTGGTCGGCCGACCACCGTTGGAAATGTATACAAAAATACCATTTTCTTGAAAATGACTTCACACCAGGTGCCATTATTTTACAGGATGCCTTAGACTGTCAATTACCAACATCCTAGTAAGGTATTTTGTAAAAACTTAGTAGTTTTATTTTTCGATGTTTGCAAAGCCACATCGTCTTCGCGTGAGCGGGGTACTTGTGCACTAAGCCTTATTGTACAATTAAGTATTCCCTAATTGTCTTGCGTTGTTTCATGCTGTTTTTGGATATTTCTACAACAGGTCTTGTACATGAGCCTGGTAAGCTTCACCGCATGTACTGCAGCAACGGCAGGTACGCTGTAATAAATAAAAAACAAAAAAATTAAACATATTACTCGAGACTTCCGTATGGATGTAAAATGTTTAGCATATTCTCGACGTATTGTTTGTTTTTGTAAACAAATGAGAACAAGTTACTACAAAAAATAACTGACATTAAAACTGTTTTCGGTATTTCTATTAATTATTGACAAGACGTGGACCTCCCCCGTTATCTTCGTTCGCTAAGCCAAGCCAAGAAGATAGATTAGCTTATCCACGACTTAATTTATTTGATATTGGTTTCGGTACTCCATGTATTTGTTTTCTTTAAATAGTGACTGGTGTTAGCTTCGGAGTTGCCGTCGTTTGTGTGATTGGCGTCTGTACCATCTACACTGTCATGGTAAGTCAAAACCCCAAAAACATAATATTTATTATCAAACAATTTAATACAAGGGGAGGGGGGGATTATTTGGGGATGGATTACTGGAAGTGAGGTAGAAGATGTCAAAAAAACTTCAACGACTGAAACATGCACTTGGAGACTACAAGAAGGTGCCTTTCTTTTAATAAGCTTGAAATTTCAAAGTGAAACTAACTTGTGCTTTTAGCTCTCAGTATTAAAATTAAGTATAATATAGACTTGTTTCCAAGCGTAGTCAAATACATGCAGCATAAGAAAACTTATGGTCTTTACTCTACCGTGATGAGCAATATTGGCAGCAAATTGTTTCAACTGCGGATAATACTGGGATAGACTGACCATGTTGATGGACGGATGAAGGATTTAATGGCCCTTCAATCAGGGGTAGTAATGGGTTGTTTTTTGTTCCAGGGTGGCATCAAGGCTGTAATGTGGACCGACACTATTCAAATGCTGCTGATTTTCGCCACCATCATCATCGTCGTCATCAAGGGAAACATTGAGATGGGAGGCGTCATCAATGTCTGGCAAATCGCGCGGGAGGGCGGCCGAATCGAGCTTCTCAAGTAAAAAACTGATTCTTATTAACATCAATATCCTTGTTAATCCCTCTTGGTGTATCTACTTTTTTAATCCATCCTTCTACTCCATTCCCTCTGATCTTCACTCAATCTTTTGTGTTTCTCCTCCCAACCCTGCATGCTTGTGCGTCCCTACATGTTTGATTCTTGTACCTCTGTCATTTTGCCTTTGAGGAAGATCTTAAGATATGAACACCTGGAACCTGGACCAGCTTTACCAGAGGGCAATTCCGAAAAATCCAACGTACGTCGGACCACATGATGTACATGTTCAGGTCGTTAAGGTGGTACCTTAGTTTGGTCTGTAATTATTTTTTACTCATTAGATGTCAGATTATTAGTGATGTATCACATTCCCTTTTCCAACAGCAGCTCATAAAGTGTCTGGCATGTTTGTCTGAATTTACGGAATTGCCCAGACTTACCTTGGCCTGTCTTTTTTTTTTTTAAGTATCAGCCCAGATCCGACTGAATACTACACTGTCTGGGGCTTTCTCATCGGCCAATTGGGAGCGGCAGCAATGGTTGTCTGTAACCAGTACCTAATGCAACGCTTCCTGGCATGTAAGAGTCTCGCAGTGGCCAAAACGTAAGTTCCAGAATGCTGATGCTCTGTGCGAAACGGGTCCTGACTTTTGATTGTGTGCACTCCTATATAGACCCTTTCCATATGGTAGCCATCTTGGCGGTGCAGTGCTTTTTGCACAGGGATACGATGCGTACACCTTTTCTGGTGCATTCAATGTTACTGCATAAATGTGAAACATCTTCCAGATTGCTTCTGTATGCAAAGGTTCTATTGGTCTTAAGTGCTAGTGCTGGTTTTGTGAATAACTATTGACCCCGTGCACGAACAAAGAGGGCGCACTGTAAGCTTACCAAGACACAAGCGTCGAAAAACGGGCTTTTTTATCATTTATATAATCTATTCGCTCTAACTGCACTGCAGTATGTGGAGAGTAAACAGTCCAACAAATTTAGTACTTTCATCGAGAGTTTCAAAGACATTTTTGAAACAATTTCTGAGTTTATAATAATGACGTCAGTGACTGGTTCCCCGCAGAGCTGTCGTTGGTTTCATGGTCGGCTCAACAATCTTCATAAGTCTGTGTGTGTTTGGTGGTGTGACGTTGTACGCTTACTACGCTGGCTGCGACCCCACAATGAGGGGGCATCTGAATCAACCAGATGAGGTATACACCCTCAACAAATTATTATTATTTTTTTTTTGGTAGTTTACTTTTTGTTTACCCTTTTTCTCTAGATTGTGTTCATCTAAGTTTGCATAGGTGTGATTGTTTATTCGTTTGCTGTTACTCTGCTTATTGTTTTCCCTATATTTGTTTGCCTAAATTAGTTCCAACGTTTTGATAAACAGTTTACCTTTTAATTAATGTCTGGTTGGTTTCAGCTTTTGCCGTACTTTATCATTGACGTCTTTCACGGGGTACCAGGCATGGCTGGTGTTCTGCTGTCGGGGATGCTCGGCGCCGCGTTAAGGTGGGTGGTACATAATATTAAAATACATAATACCAGTTGGCAAAGGTACCAGTGCGTTAATCTTGGTAACAACACATCATGTTGCCGTGTCAAGTTTTTCGCTGGTACCCGTTGCCCCATTTGAGAGCGCTGGTGACCCTGCTTCATGAAGCAACATATATCATGTATCTGGGTCATAAACACATTCTTTTGTGGGGGGAGGGCGAATGAAGTCTCACGAGATCTCGTCTTCAAGGACCTTAAAACTTCTTCTTTCTTAAAACTCTTGCAGCACCCTTTCGTCTGCTCTCAATGGCGTAGCAACGTTACTTGGTCAACACCTTGTCAAACCGTACGTCAAGAATCTAAGCGATGAGAGATACACAATGGTACTGAAATCCCTGGGTACGTTTGCTTTCATCGAGTGCTGACAACGTAATTTGTCCTGGTCATAAGTTGAAGTTGCTTCGTTTAATTGTGACTGCGTGATATATGCGTTTGATTCGAGTCCATCAGAAGTCCATCACAATCCGTTCAAAATCACAGGTTCTATGAGAAAACCCAGTCACAATGGGCATAACAGGGAATAAACATTAAGGTACGGTATTCATTTTGTAAAACACCAGTTCGTTTGTTGTCACTTAACTCAAAGCTGCAGTATTTGTGATAGACTTGTTAGACTTGTGGTCGGACACCACTACAACTTTTATTGAATTTTAACTGTTTGGAACAGTATATTATCAATGAATTTGCGGTATTTTACATGACCAGGAAACTGTATTGTTCATTAGGTGTCCTCGTTTTGTTTTATTCATAGCCACTCTCCTTGCTATCATCATTCTGGGAGTAACTTTCCTGGTGCCACTGATCGGCGGAGCCGTACCCGTGAGTACCTATTCTACTGAGCGGTGACAACTTTGGCCCCGTATCCGAGCTGGCAATAAATCTTTGCTCAGGCTGGTTCCCAATCAAACTCTTGTTGGATTTACAATGCCTGTGACTGGTTTCCAGCTCATTTAGTTACACATTGGCTTAGTTTAAGCACTAGTTAGTTAACATCTCAGTTTACTGATACTAGGTCTAAGCTCGAGCCTTCTAAGTTAGGCCCTACGTGGTCTAGACTGTTGGGGAAGTGAAATAATCTTGCTATCTATAAAGGATACAGTTCATGTTTAAACTAATGTGCGCATGTTCAAAATGACTTTAAAAATAGTAAAACACTGGTGTGTTTGCTGCCACCACTCGTCTCTAAGATCTCCACGTTGGTACAATTTTTTTTGTAATGTAGACGTTGCTTGCTATTGCTGGTGCTGTGAGTGGACCGATTCTTGGCATTTATCTCCTGGGGATGTTCTACCCACGATGCAAGGCTAAGGTAACAGTGTCAGGAATTTCCCTTGGTTACAAGATGGTGACTTATTGTTCCTGCTGGTCACGTGACACTGAAAAACTCAAATAAGTAAACAAAAAAATAATAATATTGCACTTCTCAACACTCCTTGTTTGTCACTGAGAATTACGTTTTTTTTAATGTGAAGTTCATTTTGTAAAAACAAGGCTTAAGAATTTCATTCGAAGCTGATTTACCAGTTGATGTGTGCGCATGCGTTGACAGTCGAACGAGGTCTTAGGTCAATAAGACTTTGAAACTCGACTGTTTGCAGGGTGCGTTTGTTGGATACCTTGTTGGTGCGTCGATTGGTATTTGGTTGGGCGTGGGCAATGTTCTTCATGGCAATCGCTCGGCAGGCATTCTGCCCCTATCCATCGATGACTGCCCTGCCTTAAATACCACCCTGGAAACCATGACAACGACCTTTGACCCAAGCGTGTATACCACCACGTCATTGGATGATTCCACTTCTTCAGTGATGACCAATCCGGATGAGGAAAGGTGGGTTTGACAAGTTACAAACGCCTCTGTTAAAAAAAAAAATCATTGAGATGAAAGTACAAAGTGTGTCCTCGCGGCGTTACTCAGATAAACAAAGAGTTTCCTCAGTGAGGGCGTTTTCTTGCAAAGTGTCTATTGCCACCGTAGTGTATTTGTGTACCAGGGAGGTAATTAAATCATCATACAATTATAAGTAAAACTGCTGAAAACTCCTTTCTGACTGGATTGACCTAAAATATACAAATCAGAGGCATTTTAGCTAAGATCGCATGCATCGTCAGGCCGTGTTATTTTTCTTTAGATTTCAATCATCATATTTTTTTTTTAACCTTAATGCCTAAAATCTTTGCATTTTTTTCCCCCGCAGTGGTCCGATTTTTGGACCCCTCTACTCGGTTTCCAGAATCTGGTTCCCGACGCTCACCTGCTTTTTGACCATCTTAGTAGCCGCAATTATCACCTGGATATTTGGTGAGTCAACCTTTCGGTGCCAGTCTATTGTCATTAGAGCATGTTTCAGAGAACTGAATCTTATAGGGACTGGGGTAAAAAGGGAAACATTGTAACTATAATTTAGGGTTTACTTTTGTGTAGTAGAAAATGTATAAACAAAATCAATCAAAATCCGAGCATTCCGGCGTCCTAATCTGTATTATTAATATCAAATAAAATATCATTTCGATGTTAATTCGAAACAGTTGCAGCCCTCTTAAACTAAATGAATACGCCCCCCCCCGCGAAAAACTACTTTATTTTATCCTTCTTTCTAATAATAGGTGGTAATGACTTAGAATCAGTTGACCCAAGACTGTACGTGAAATTGCCGAAGTGGGGTCACTGCGCATGGCCGTTTAAGGCGTGTGGAAGAAATAAGGAGCGTGGCCCGCCCAGTGACGTCAAATTTGAGGTGAGGTTTTCTTCAAATGGCAACCATTCTTAGCGAATAAATCCCGAATAGTGTTGCGTGGTTGCTATGAAACCTTACTGTCATTAGAATTCTTAGACTTTTCGGTTTTTTTTTCTTCAAAATACAGAATTAAAGGATAAATGCAAGTTTTAAGCAGCGCCTGTGCTGCAAAAGTTCATTATTGCCCTATCTTGTTATGAAATTGATATATTTTTTTTGAAATTTATTTTGACAGATGCAAGCACCAGACAACGAGCCAGTTTCCCAACAGGAGGAGGGTGAGAATTCACCCCTCCAAAAGTTGGGTATTAGTGACACTGGACCAGGAGTGAAGTGTAACCATGGGCGGTTGCGAAAGGATTCAAAAGTTTAAGTTGAAGTAACAAATCTTGCGATGTCCTGTACTTTTAGTAGGCCTATATAATTATGGTAATAAAAGGCTAATACCGCTTCGTATACATCACATTTTTGGAACGATTTAGTGCAATTGAATTATGAAGGGGCAGATTGGGTCATTATAATTCTATTTTGTGTGGCTTTTGGGGCAAATCATAGTTGGCAAGGGAACATTTCAGATTAAGTTGATTTGAGATAAGTTTGGGTAAAATGTTAAGGTTGAACTGTTTTAAAGTTTCAATGATTTTGGACTGGTGTGGCGCCATTTGGAATATGCGCCTGAAGCAGGTTCGGCCTATGGCTATTGCACCTCTACAATTATTTTTGCACGTATCAAACATTGAATTACAATCTTCTACTTTATATGAGTGCGCCCTCTCGTGGTCATGTCTTGGCAAGTCAACGGCTGTTTATTATTATAGATCACGTTATTTAATACACAATTTTCCGTGTTTATTCCTGCTTTTGGTGAAACTACAAGCACGACAAGTAATAATAATTTATATTTTGAAAATGTTCAAGGATAACATGTGAAAATGCGTCCTTTTCAGCGTTGTTAAGCACACCAAGTAACAGCTAATGTTTTTTGAAACATAAAACAGTCGTGGAAAAGCTTATGTGTCGCTATGCAACAATCGATCGACGGTAACAGATGGGGTGTGTTTTGTGACTTGGCGCTCCGTAGCAAATCTGCATTTTTTTGTCTTCACAACACCAAAACAGTGTTATTAATTGTCAGAGTAGTGTAATAGATATCTGGAGTTACCACTGGATCGTTTTAAATACATTTTTATTCATTAATTGCCTGACATATGCTGAGACAAGTTCGGTAATACTTCTGGTTCGAAAAATCAATCGTGCGTGAAGATAGCTTGCTGTATAGGCTACAGTACAAATACATACGTGTACGGTGTAGGCTTATTTGATGCGGGCAGAAAGAGTGCAGTGTCACACGTGAAGTACTAAGTAAAGAATCTTTCTCGTAAAAATGTCGGAGCAACAAGCCACAGAAGAGGTCGAGGTGAGTGTTATTTGTAATACTGAATGAATTAGGCCAAAAAAAGGGTTCTAGTTCTACTTCCGATTACATGATTTGAAAATAGGGAAAGCATGGGTAGGTAAGGAATTTTTGTTTTTACGATGTGTCTGCGTGTAGTCAAGGGTAAAATATAGTACTTGATGATTTTCAGGGTTTTTTCTTCATTTTCCACCAAAAAAAATTAGGGTGGGGCTGTTAAAATAAGGTAGGTAGCGGAAGCGGAAGCAGAACTGTTATTTTTTTTTTGGCCTTATTTGGAGTAAAGTGGTGTGTAGTCCCACTAACTGGGCCTGGGGCGCTTGTAGAACTCCTTTTTTGACATTTGGGATGTTGGTCTGTCTATATTGCGTTAATGTATTCACCATGTTCAAGACATGAATCACAATATTTAGAATCCTGAACACAAAAGTTTAAACTAAATTATTTATATTTTGTAGTAGAATCAGGCCATTCATGTTGTAAAGTCAGAAGGAACATTGCCTTTAAAATGTCTGCAAGGAATATTGCCTCAATAAAATCTGTCTAATCTGTAAAAATGGGCAGAAAAACAAGATAATGTTGAATTAATTACTTCAAACAGGAGCAACAGACGACACAAGAACAAGATGAAGAAAAGCCCACAGACGACAGCGCAGAACCAGAGGAGGAGCAAAAGGACACGAAGGAAGACGGAGACAAAACAGAACCAGGGAAGGAAGATAATGAAGGTAGAGAAGCCAGGCTAAGGAAACGGAGAAAAGAGAAAGGAACAGGTATAAGCCACGGAGGGGACGCAAGTCGTTTGCGGTAACTGCCTGGCTTCATATCATTCCATTCATCCAGCTAACGATCATTTCCATTTAGATCGAGGGCTGATTTTCAGCTGCTAAGGCCGAATAAAAAAAAATTAGCAGCTTCTGGTCCGGTCGTTTAAAAAAAAAGTAGGCGATTTTTTTTTTCCAACGTGGCCAATTTTTCAAGATGGCGGATGGGTTCTTCAATTCTTGACTATTGCTGATACAAAATTGTTTCCAAAGGAGCCATAACCATTTTTACACAGCTACAATTTTGTTGGAAACAAATAAAAAGACAATATATTGACAGTGTGCAAAGTATATTGCAAATTGGAAAACAATTCAAAAAAGAGAGAAAAAGGAACAAGTGGGGACGACAAACTGGTTTTTTTTTTTTACATGGCCTATGCACTGAAATTTACTTTGCAAAAAGTAGGTGTTTACAGACAGATAACATTTTTAGGTTTCAAGTTTTATGCCTATGCACAATGGGACACCATGCCAATTTATGATCCGCCAAAAGAAATACAGTTCATGACCTTTGCATAATCACCACATTCCATTGTCGCTAATCTCGTTGTGAACCCAAAAAGCCCATTTATAGTACAGGCAATATAAGGTTTGACCTCAAACAAATTGCAACAGAATTTTTTTCACCACAGTGCATTTCTATAAGGTCCCTAAAATGACATACTAAAAGTCTTTAAAAATCGAGGTGGTGGAAATATGCCTAATTTGCATAAATCCAAAATGGCCGCATATGTTAGGACTTTCGCATTGATTTGGTCATATTTCTCATACTAGGTGGATTTTAGAGGTACTTTAAACAACAGTTTTAGTCCTTTTACATTGATTTACTCATTATTTAAGTCCTAGGTAAATTCCAAGATCCCTATGTTTCCGAAATTTTTCAAATGCCGTATAATTTGCATAAATGCCGTATATCAATTTGCCTAATTAAAGTTAAAATAATGGATGCCATGTGTGGACATGTACCAATTGAGTGTTCCCTGATAATCCAAGTCAAATTTCACACCACAGTGCATTGCTATAAGGTCCCTAAAAAAGTTGTTAAAAATCCAAATGGTGGAAATATGCCAAATTTGCATAAATTCAAAAGGCCGCTAATTACATGATTTTCATATGATTTGGCGCGGCCATAATAGTATATAGGCCGTTATGTACTTTTGCTTTTTTTTTTTTAAGAAGTAATTTTTGCCATATTTGGAAAGAGTTTACCTCCCTAAGCCGGAAATGCATTGAAGACATTTTTTCCCAGCTACCGTGTGGCGGCCATCTTGGATTTCAAAATGGCCGCCATTTCGAGCCTAATTTGTATCATAACTTCGGACTTGATTGTCACATGAAGTTCATTTTGATGGCAAACCCCATGTTTTTGATACCAAGGAACCTGAGTACATTATTGTTTATGGTGTACTCCAACTGGATGGCAGCCATCTTGGATATTTCAAATATATGGCCGCCATTTTCGGCTTATTTGCATAATAAATTTGGACTCGAATGGCGTACGAAGTCAATTTCGGTGGCAAACCCCATACATTTGATACCAAGTAATCTTAATGACCCATTGCTGATGATCTATCCCAGATGGATGGCAGCCATCTTGGATTTTTTTTCAAAATAGCCGCCATCTTGGATCTTATTTATAATAACATTGCACCTGAATGTCCTATGAAGTCCATGTATTTGAATGAATTCAAGTAAATCACTGTGGACGGGGTACTTACAGTTGATGGCAGCCATCTTTGATATTTCATAATTGCCGCCATTCTGAACTATTTGCATAATAAATTTGGACTTCAATGTCGTATGAAGTCACTATTGGTGGTGGCAAAGCCCATAAATTTGATATCAAGGAATCCAATTAGCACATCTAGGCATCCCAAATGGATGCAGCCATATTGGATATTCAAAAATAGCGGCCATCTTTGATTTCATTTAAATAATAAGGTGGCACCCGAATGTCGTATGAAGTCCATTTTGGTGGCAAACTGCATTATGTTCTTGATACCAAGGAACCCAAGTTGATCATTGTTGATGGGGTACTCCACTGGAAGTATACCCCATCAACAATGATTTTCGTGGGTTCATTGGTATCAAAAACATGGGGTTTGCTTCCAAACTGAACTTCATATGACAATCAGGTCCGAAGTTAGATACAAATTAGGCCCGAAATGGCGGCCATTTTGAATTCCAAGATGACCGCCACATGGTAGATAGAAAAAAAATGTTACCAATGGATTTCCAGCTTAGGAAGGTAAAGTCTATCCAAATAATTATGAGAAAAATTCCTTCTTTAGCAAAGAAAAATGCAGTGGCCAAAAATATGACATAATATGCTATCTAGTAATAACTCTCGTCCTAAGTTGCTTTTCGGGGTACTTTAAACAACATTTTGTCATTTGACATTGGGGCCATTCAGTGTCAAATCACCCCCAAAACTTTTAAATTTGAAACCCCAACCTCTTCAAATTGGATCATATTTAGTTAATGGGGTAATTTCGGCTGAAAAGCCGAAATTTTAAGTTTTAGCACCATCGGACAAACAGTTTTCGCGCTACCGCCCAGGCAATTTTAGTCAAAATGGACATTGCTGCCATTTTAAATGACCATATTTCTATAATCTGTGAGCCAAATGTGGTAATCTTAATTTCTTTTGAAAGGTTACATCATGAGAAATCCAAATTTACCATTGTTTTGTTCATGTCGGGGTTATTTTAAGTATAATGACATTTTGACCTTTAATTTGACCTTGAATTTGACCTAGTGGATCACCCGACATTGAGACAAACTTAGATGAAAATTAAACCCCAAGATGTTCGCTACAAAATATCAAAAAATTGGGAAAGATATTTTTTTGTTTTTGGCTCATCTCAAAGTTTGCATACGCGTTGCAAAATGTGATATCCCTATGCAGTGTACTAGTGGATTTAAAGTAGGGATTTTTTTGTCCCTGAAATGTGTTAAAATTATTCCTTTTATTTTCTGAGTTAATTCATCAATCACTAATTTTTTTTACGGCCGTAAAGTGTTATGTAACTTCGGAGGTGGGTGCTAGGTGAATTATGCAAATGTAATTCCTTTTCCTTTGTTGCATACCAATTCCGGGCTTGCACCCATGCGGGAGGGGTATAAAACCATCGCCCACGTATTTTCGGATTGAGGTTTGCGGTTTTTTGGTTTATATCTTTCCCGTATATATAATATGATTTTTGTGATTTGTAACTCCTGTGTTGAATCCTCTGTTCTCTTGAGTTATTCCTTGATTTTTGGTCCGAGTAGAGCGGCACAAGGGTTCGCTCTGCGACACAGGGATATCACACTTTCCAGCACTTATACCAACTTTGACAAGAGCTAGAAACCTTAACAAAAAATATTATACCCCATAGGAAACATAGGATCTCATAAGGTACCTCGGACTGGAATGATGATGAAATCAATGTCAAAGGACAAATTGTTGTTCAAAGTACTCCAAAAAGCAATGCAGGACAAGAGTTATGGCCAAATCAAAAATCATGTAATTAGTGGCCATTTTGAATTTATGCAAATTAGGCATATTTCCACCACTTGGATTTCTTTCCCTTTTTTAAGGAACCTTATAGCAATGCACAATGGTGTGAAATTAATTTATGTACATGACTGGACTTGGATTATCAGGGAAAATTTTACTGTGACATGTCCACACATGACAGCCATAATTTTAAAGGGAATGTACATCATTGGCTTTTGCTGTAATTTTCAGAAATGAACTATTTGAGGGGTTAGTATAATAGATCAAATATTGTTACACTGACATGTTTGAAGTTTTGTGTTCGAAAATGCTGGAAAAACCAAGAAAAACTAAAATTTTCAAGTAGTCTGGTTCCTTGACTCCACTAAAGATAAAATGGATCAATTTATAAATGCCGGAAAATTGTAAGGTAAGGGAACCAGTCTAGCTGGCCTGCACCCATTCATGAACATGTAACCAATAACAAACAAAATTTGGACTGAACAAAGTGTAAAGTTGGAGCAGCAGTTGAAAAATGTATACAAAAATACAATTTTCTTGAAAATGACTTCACACCAGGATGCTTTAGACTGTCATTTACCAACGTCCTAGCAAGGTATTTCGTAAAAACTTGGTAGTTTTATTTTTCGATGTCTGCAAATGTTGTATATTCCCTTTAACTTTAATCTATGCAAATTAATAAATGGCATTTATGCAAATTATTATCGGCATATCGCAAATTGGGAAACATAGGGATATTGAAACTTACCAAGGTCTAGAATAATGAGTAAATTCGCCTGATGATCGCCACGCAGTGTGCGTGTGCGTGAAACCAATGGTAGCAGAATAGACTGAACCTATATGTTATATATAGATTCATATATATATCATATTGCAGATAGTATATATATATTACAGCATAATAAATGAATATAAATCATCTACAGATCTTTTCTGAAGTCAATGGGCATCTCAATAATAAATTAAGATCAACTCTCTGTGTTTAGTATTAAATATATTGTTGCAGCATCACTAAATATTCCATTATAAAGTAGCAAAAAAAGTGGTACTGGGTGTGGTTAAGAAACACATTAGAAAACTACTTTCCACCACACGGATTTCTTAAGACTTTTAATATGTTATAGAGGAGATTTTTCTGAGTAATAACCTTTTTAAATGGTTTCTGTTGCAATTTGTTTGAGGTTACCCATTAATTTTTCACATAATGCCTGTACTATTATCATTCATGTGCAAACATACGCAGGCAGTACAGTAGCACTAGATAAGAGTAAATTGCATGCATTTCTTTACATTTGGTGCCAACAGCTGTTAACATTTTGTGTGTGGGTGCTCGTTTTTGATGTTTTGTTTGTATGAGATTGGCCATTTTGATTGCCTGATTGGAATACATTATCCAATCTGATGTTTAAAATCACAACTTACTAATTCCTTAAAATTAATTATCGAAAACATTATGAGATAAGCAAAGTGCCATAGAAACAAGTGGAAAGGGTAAACAATCAAAACAAGTTGTTTAAAATTAAAAAAATAAAGTAGAACAAAGACTGTAAAAAAGAAAGAAAAAAAAAAATCATTTTTTTGTTGAACGGCACAACCGAGTATGTAAACAAAGACAAAATTGCCATTAAAAAAAAATCTAATTCTACATTTCAATAAAGTAATTTTCACATCTTAAATTTGTCGCTTTACCAGGTTCGACGATAGAGTCATCTAAAAGACAGAAGCAGTTCGTTGCCGAATTCAATAGATTGAAAGCCAGCCTGGAGAAGGAGGCTACAAAAATCGTCAAACCGGAATTGTGAGTATTTAAATTCTGACTAATATTGAAAATAGATTATGGATTTTTAAAAAACAAATGTAACGGCTTTCCCTATTTCAGCCACGGTACAAATTACAAACTTAATGATTTTGTTGACCCAAATTGATCTTGCAATCCACAACTGCTGTGTCAATTATTCACTATACTTTAATATCCAAATTCTCAGTGAGTGACGAAAACATAAACAGAAATATAGAAACTCAATAATTGTTTTCTCGTCCTTATGTTTCCTTTATAGCAAGCAATACTCGCCATACATCCACACTAGTCTGGCGCCTTACTACAACACCTACACCGTGCAATTTCTACTCAGTCTGGTAAGCATACCGTCAAGTTTTGTCATCTTGTAGGTCTAAATACCAGTGGGATTGAAAGCTATTATGTCAGTCCCTATGTCTGAGAGAGATTGGTCGTACTTGTAGAATCCCCAACAGAAAGTTCTGCAGTCACGGACTGCTGGAGTTCTCAAACAGCGCAGAGATGGGAGGGAGGGGGGAGAAAATATTATGTCACCTGAGGGCGCTGTTCACTGGACGAGATAGGATAGCAGTTGACACACACACTAGATGGCGCTCTTCATCATTGTTGTGGGGTCGGGGCTTGACAATTTCTTTCTTGAAAATTACTTCCATCTAGAAACTATTTCAAATTCCATCTGAGTCAGATTATAAAATGGTTGTTCGTTGTTTCAATTTGTTTCAGCCTCCACATGTACGGCACGGCTACATCACTCGTAAAACTGCGATTGGCATAGTGGATCCTGAAGTATCGCACAACATGGATATGTAAGTATTCAAGTATTGTTATAGGCTCGGTGCATGAACATAGATGGCGCTATGCAACGTACTTGGTCACAACCCCTAGTAAAGAACGCATTGCAAGAGGAACGCAAAACAGCAGTACACACTGTGAAGCCACTTGCAAAACAAGATCTCCCCTTTTTGTCACACCCTGACCCTGCCCACATCTAATTTCAACTTTTAAACTGAAGAATTAATTTTTCAGTTTTCTCTATTTTTCTTTCCCAGTTTTGTCAATTTCAAATTGCTTATTTGGAAAAAAACAAACAGGCTTTTCCTTCTCTTTTCCTCCAGAAATGTCGATGAGGTCCCAGAATCGGTCTCTATTCCTGTAACATCGATGGATCCCGAACTTTCGTAAGTGCCTCCTTTTCTGGTCAATTTTTCTTGTTTACATAGAAATGTATATTATGAATACTGCGATCAATACTTCCACTTCTTCAAATAACGGAAGTCAAATCAAATTACAAATCAGACAGCGAAACCTTGGGATGTTGATTGGTTGATACGTAAGACATCTGCACTACAAAGACAGAGGTTATGAGTTCTAATCCCAAGAGGTTTAGAAAAGCATCCAGCTTGCAGTACTTTTAACATCACATCATTGACGGGCGAAACAGTGTTTTGAAAATAGACTGAAATTGTTTTCAATTATTGACCAACTTTTTGTATGTATTGTTTGATGTAGGCCGAGAAGTCAGGGTCTTAAGGGTGGCAAAGAGGGCAGCACCAGACTACCCAAGTGGCCTGTCGTCAAGTTTAAGAAGACGGAAGATCCCAATAAGAAGCTCAACTGGGGCGACGTGCCAAGATTGAGGTAAATACGATAACAATTTTTCAAATCTTTTCTGAATAGTTTTCAACTGGTTTCATATTCTGAATCATCATTTTCATGGAGTAATTTTGAAGGCTTCCAATATCCCAATTTAATACGATAAACCATAGTTTTGAGCCGGTGAGATCACTATAACCATGCCATATTTTGTATTAATTATTAGATATAAATATATTAATTGGAGGAAATTTTCATTTTTTGTAACTTTACACTTCAGTCCAAAATGAAATATTGTGCCCAATATTATTTTCAAATTATATCAGCATGCAAAGGTCGCTTTCATAGAGAACGTGCACGTAGCACTTTCACTGTGGGCAGGTTTATTAATTAAATTCAACGACAATGAAAATACGTGTCTACTCCGTGGATCGCAGAGGAAGAAGGACCTGTCCACAGAGAGGGCGCTCTATGCAAGCTTTCTGTAATATTGAATTCATGTCTGTTAACATCAAAAATGAGGTCATTAGGCCCAAAAAAATAAGTCTCCGGTTTCTGGTATGGAGCTTGCCCAAAAAGTGGTGCGGCGACGCGGCTTTTTTTTTTTTATACCCGATTTTTTTGCTTCAAATGTCGGCTGATGACTGCAAATGGTGCCCGACTAAACTTAGTGCAAATATATGGGAGTCCAGAGAGGCCACATAAAGCTTATTCTCGATCGTCACCCCATCTAAAAACACGTTAAAATCGTGCAGCAGCAGAATTCCAGTCAAATCAGTGAGTTTGGCGGTTTTGAGACATCATCTATCATTGAAAAAAAAAACTTTTTCATTTTGCCGACGCGCATGGCTACGGCGATGCGCGCGCATACCAGAAACCGGAGACTTTTTTTTTTGGCCTTACAGTGGATTTCTCAAACATACAGCCTTTACCAATAAGATCTCTGTTCCCCTTCCAGAGATTCCCTGAAGACGCAGTACAGCAGCAACGCCCAGGAGCGCATCAAGAGCGACTACGAGCGCACCAGGCAAGACTGGGACCGCATGGAGCTCGACAAGCTGAGAGACATCCACGAGGTCAGTCGCAGTCACATGCGCATCACCTGCGGTACGTACCTAGGCACTTCCAAGGGCTCGCATAAGGCCGTCAAGAACCTGACCAAAGTTCTTGAGTAAATTCCCTCAATCAGTATTCATGAGTGTTTCTAAATTCGGAGGCTGTGGTTTCGAATTACTTGACTACGGCTGTCGGTCACCATGCGTCTATGGGAAGTGGCTGCTGCTGCTTCCATAGGCGCGTGTGTTATTGCTAGCCGTAGCCATGTCATTCTGATGTAGCCCTAGTTCATATTCTGTGCAGGATGTGTATGTCTTAAACCATGGCCAAGTTCGGGCAAGGACCATTAGTCGACTAGTGGTTGATTTGTGACGTACCTTACGCCTGCGCACTGATAGCAACGTGCGAACGTCTCTAGTCAAACGCTGGTCAAAATGTCTTCGCAAAACTTCTGGATCCTGGCTCTCTGCTAGCGTTATGAATACGCACGGCTATTGGTTACCAGCGAAGCAACCAACCCCAGTAGGCTGGTTCCAAATAGTCGACTAGCGTAGTCCACCACCGTCGACTAGACAGAGTTCGGGCAAACGTTAGTTAACCATTGGTCAACTATAGTCCTTGCGCGAACTTGGCCCATGCTGTATTGAACCTTGTTATGGGCTCCGTGCACAAGTACCCCCTCAACGGTAAGAAAGGGAGAGTTGGGGAGACCACTGGGGGAGACATTCAAACACATTGCTGACGACGCTCGACACTCACGCTTAGACGCTGCTTAGTTAACATTAATAATAAACTAAGTCCTTTATACTTTGCGTCTTGAGCACGTGAACCAGTACACCCACTCTTGTTTTACTATACTCCTGAAGACAATGCTTTGTCCCAGTAGCTCACAAACCTACTACAGAGGACCGTTTTGAACAAAAGACCCAACTCCCGAGGACTGAAAGGATCTGTTGTTCTCCCTTTGTGTGTCTGTCCTCGGGGGTTATGTAGAACAAGTACACACATGCGATGTGTCAAATTCCTGGGGCGCTCAAAGCTGGTTGAAAAGCGCCCTCTGTGTTCGTGCATGGAGCCCATAGATGAACTTCAAATATGCTAAGAAAAGAAACAAGTCTAAAGCAATACAGATTTTGATACAAAAAAAATGGCATTCTTTTCTATACAAAAATATATTTTTATTACATTTCCAACACCGGTAGACTTTTCCATTCTATATTTTTTTTTATTTGCCAAAATTAAGGTCTTACAAAAAAAAAACATTTTAGGGGGAAAAAACACTGTATGTACTTAAAAATTTGAATATTGAGATGAAGGAATTTCACAAGGAAAGGCTGTAAATAAATTGTACATAAATGCAAAAATTACACATGACATTGTGAACATTATTTGAATCAAGTCATGCATTAAATTTTGATTTGGGAACAATTATTAAAGAAATTTAGGATCAAAATGTTTTGCCGCAAAGTGTAAATTGTTGAATAATTATGCCATTTGATGTAAAATAATTGTGTGTTGCTTGTTGCTTAAAACGATTTTGAGCCCACCGTTTAAAGTCTGATTGCTTGATTGTTTTTTTAAATTTGTAATCTGTTTCAATATGTAAATAGAAAATGATGTTTTAAGAATGGCGTTTTAAAATGATTTGTGAATTTGAAGTTGCATCAGGTTGGATCAAATTAGACAAAATTGAAAAATCTCTTGGATAAAGAGCATTAAACGGCAGATCTAAAACATCTTATACAATTTGAAGTATTATTATCCAAGTTATCCAAGTTTTCTCGTCTATCTACCTAGAATTTGATTTGTTTTGATAAGAAATTAAGTGATGGCTTTAAGGGCACAAAATAATTAGGTGTTGGCTATACATGTACTTTACAAATGTTTACCTTTCCACAAAAATAATTGAGTGCATGTAAACTTGAGTGGTATCTCAGCGGAGGAATAATTGTAATAAAATGACGGAAATAAACAACAAATTTTAAAAAGGAGACAAATTAATTTACATGTAATGATGTAAGTTTTGTTTGAAATGTATACATTGTATATATTTTGTAACATTTTCACCCAAAATGTAAGGTTAACCCTTTGTAAGTTTATTTTGTCACATTTTCACCCAAAATGTAAGGTTAACCCCTTGCCAATTTATTTTATCTCATTTTCACCCAAAAAGTAAGGCTTACCCCTTGCAAATTAATTTTGTCTCATTTTCACCCAAAAAGTAAGGCTAACCCCTTGCAAATTTATTTTGTCTCATTTTCGCCCAAAAAGTAAGGCTAACCCCTTGCAAATTTATTTTGTCTCATTTTCACCCAAAAAATAAGGCTAACCCCTTGCAAATATATTTTGTCTCATTTTCACCCAAAAAGTAAGGCTAACCCCTTGCAAATTAATTTTGTCTCATTTTCACCCAAAAAGTAAGGCTAACCCCTTGCAAATTTATTTTGTCTCATTTTCACCCAAAAAGTAAGGCTAACCCCTTGCAATTTATTTTGTCACATTTTCACCCAAAAAGTAAGGCTAACCCCTTGCAAATTAATTTTGTCTCATTTTCACCCAAAAAGTAAGGCTAACCCCTTGCAAATTTATTTTGTCTCAATTCACCCCAAAAGTAAGGCTAACCCCTTGCAAATTTTATTTTGTCTCATTTTCACCCAAAAAGTAAGGCTTACCCCTTGCAAATTTATTTTGTCTCAATTCACCCAAAAAGTAAGGCTAACCCCTTGCAAATTTTATTTTGTCACATTTTCACCCCAAAAGTAAGGCTAACCCCTTGCAAATTTTATTTTGTCACATTTTCACCCAAAAAGTAAGGCTAACCCCTTGCAAATATATTTTCTCTCATTTTCACCCAAAAAGTAAGGCTAACCCCTTGCAAATTTATTTTCTCTCATTTTCACCCAAAAAGTAAGGCTAACCCTTTGCAAATTTATTTTGTCTCATTTTCACCCAAAAAGTAAGGCTAACCCGTTCCAAACTTATTTGTCTCATTTTCACCCAAAAAGTAAGGCTTACCCCTTGCCAATTTATTTTGTCACATTTTAACCCCAAAAGTAAGGCTAACCCCTTGCAAATTTATTTTGTCACATTTTCACCCAAAAAGTAAGGCTAACCCCTTGCAAATTTATTTCGTCTCATTTTTAACCAAAAAGTAAGGCTAACCCCTTGCACATTTATTTGTCTCATTTTCACCCAAAAAGTAAGGCTAACCCCTTGCCAATTTATTTTGTCACATTTTCACCCAAAAAGTAAGGCTAACCCCTTGCCAATTTATTTTGTCACATTTTCACCCAAAAAGTAAGGCTAACCCCTTGCAAATTTTATTTTGTCACATTTTCACCCAAAAAGTAAGGCTAACCCCTTGCCAATTTATTTTGTCACATTTTAACCCCAAAAGTAAGGCTAACCCCTTGCAAATTTATTTTGTCACATTTTCACCCAAAAAGTAAGGCTAACCCCTTGCAAATTTATTTCGTCTCATTTTCAACCAAAAAGTAAGGCTAACCCCTTGCACATTTATTTGTCTCATTTTCACCCAAAAAGTAAGGCTAACCCCTTGCAAATTTATTTTGTCACATTTTCACCCAAAAAGTAAGGCTAACCCCTTGCCAATTTATTTTGTCACATTTTAACCCCAAAAGTAAGGCTAACCCCTTGCAAATTTATTTTGTCACATTTTCACCCAAAAAGTAAGGCTAACCCCTTGCAAATTTATTTCGTCTCATTTTCAACCAAAAAGTAAGGCTAACCCCTTGCAAATTTATTTGTCTCATTTTCACCCAAAAAGTAAGGCTAACCCCTTGCAAATTTTATTTTGTCACATTTTCACCCCAAAAGTAAGGCTAACCCCTTGCAAATTTTATTTTGTCACATTTTCACCCAAAAAGTAAGGCTAACCCCTTGCAAATATATTTTCTCTCATTTTCACCCAAAAAGTAAGGCTAACCCCTTGCAAATTTATTTTCTCTCATTTTCACCCAAAAAGTAAGGCTAACCCGTTGCAAATTTATTTTGTCTCATTTTCACCCAAAAAGTAAGGCTAACCCGTTGCAAACTTATTTGTCTCATTTTCACCCAAAAAGTAAGGCTTACCCCTTGCCAATTTATTTTGTCACATTTTAACCCCAAAAGTAAGGCTAACCCCTTGCAAATTTATTTTGTCACATTTTCACCCAAAAAGTAAGGCTAACCCCTTGCAAATTTATTTCGTCTCATTTTCAACCAAAAAGTAAGGCTAACCCCTTGCACATTTATTTGTCTCATTTTCACCCAAAAAGTAAGGCTAACCCCTTGCAAATTTATTTTGTCACATTTTCACCCAAAAAGTAAGGCTAACCCCTTGCCAATTTATTTTGTCACATTTTAACCCCAAAAGTAAGGCTAACCCCTTGCAAATTTATTTTGTCACATTTTCACCCAAAAAGTAAGGCTAACCCCTTGCAAATTTATTTCGTCTCATTTTCAACCAAAAAGTAAGGCTAACCCCTTGCACATTTATTTGTCTCATTTTCACCCAAAAAGTAAGGCTAACCCCTTGCAAATTTATTTTGTCACATTTTCACCCAAAAAGTAAGGCTAGCCCCTTGCCAATTTATTTTGTCACATTTTCACCCAAAAAGTAAGGCTAACCCCTTGCAAATTTTATTTTGTCACATTTTCACCCAAAAAGTAAGGCTAACCCCTTGCCAATTTATTTTGTCACATTTTAACCCCAAAAGTAAGGCTAACCCCTTGCAAATTTATTTTGTCACATTTTCACCCAAAAAGTAAGGCTAACCCCTTGCAAATTTATTTCGTCTCATTTTCAACCAAAAAGTAAGGCTAACCCCTTGCAAATTTATTTGTCTCATTTTCACCCAAAAAGTAAGGCTAAACCCTTGCCAATTTATTTTGTCACATTTTCAACCCAAAAGTAAGGCTAACCCCTTGCAAATTTATTTTCTCTCATTTTCACCCAAAAAGTAAGGCTAACCCCTTGCAAATTCATTTGCCACATTTTCACCCCAAAAGTAAGGCTAACCCCTTGCAAATTTTATTTTGTCTCATTTTCACCTTAAAAGTAAGGCTAACCCCTTGCAAATTTATTTTGTCTCATTTTCATCCAAACTGTTTTAAGTTAAAATGTTAGGTTTACCCCTTCCAATTTGCCGATCGGACCCAATAGAAGTATTCCCGAACGTCTTGATTTCCAAAGTATTAAACGACAGTACATATATTTTAAATCCCCGCACCAATTCCCCACAACTCCTAAACCAGAGATCGTGAATTCCGATTCCTGTCCCGTACCACAAACGGATGTTTTCCCTTTAATTAATAAGTCCATAGTATTTATCTCCCAAGTATATTTTAAGTTCGTATATTAAGTTCCCAGTATAAGTATAAACCGAGAGTATAAGTGTTTAAATTTTCGCGCAAATTTCAAAGTGGGTGTGGCCTCGTGGTAGATCTGTCTGCACGGAGTCCCAAGACAGCGAGTTCGAATCCCAGATCCGTAAGTTTGATTTATTATTTATTTTAAGATTGCGTAATTCGATTCTAAGGGTTTTAATTATAGGAAGTGTGATTTTCACTGGGGGACCCAGGTAGCGCACCCGGTAGAGGTCCCGACGGGTAAGCCGGCGCCCCTGGTTCGAGTCCCGGCCGCGGCAACTCGGACTGGCTGCAGGGAAACCTGCGGCGCTCCGAGTTTTGTATCGCGTGTCTACCCCAACTATATAAAATAAAATAAAATAAAACAGAATTTTACTCTTTTTAAATTAAATAAGTATAAGTAAAAAGAAGTAAAAAGTCCTGATGTGGCACCAGCCGGTTTCGAACTCGGTACCTTCCGCATGAGCACTAGAGTGCCTACCACTAGGCCATTGCGCTTTGCTTACTTAGAAGTGTTTGGAACTAATATATAAAGATTCGGATTCATATAACGCAACGAAAAAAAAAATAAACTAAGTCCACGCGCATGCGCTTTTAGGATTCGCGTCAGACGGTTAAGTTGGCGCGCATGCGCATTTATCCCTCAAGCTTCTTAGACGAGAATGCAAGGCCGCGCGCATGCCCACTTGCGCTTTCTAACAATAAGACAGAAGCCGATTTTCCGCAGCTTTTTTTTTTATGGCTGATAAATCTGTTAGTACAAAATAAATAATATAGTAACATTTTCTGGATTTGTTTTTCAACATTTTTTTAATACATGTATTTGGGAAAGTCTTATTGAGTTGTAGAGCTGAAGCTACGACTGCTTAAAATGCATGAACAAGGCAAGGACAATATTTTTGAAAATCTGATAAAAACAATTAATGTAAGTATTTACCCACATTACCTTTTTTACATAATATTTTTTTGGGGAAAAAGAAGAGTGTTTCAATAAACCTGGGAAAGAATGCTGACGCCACTTCTTTGGTTGTGTACCAGAGAGTTAGAAATGTTTCTCAGTCCCATGCAGATTCATGTCTTATCATGTTTGCAATGAATGACCTTCATTGAGATGACATATGAAGACCAATTGGCGTCAGGATGCAGCATTCGTTCTGAAACCTTACACTCTTTCTTCAAAATTAATTACAATTATCATTTCAAATGGTTCAGTTCGTTTTGCTAATCACAGCGAGCAATGTACATGGTGGTAGAATGAGTTGCCATAACACAGTCTAGAAGTTGAGAAATGTTTTGCCCCCAAAATATGAATGAATTAAATTGGCGGGACTTAACAATATAGTCTCAAAATAAAAAGCTAGATTTTAACCAAAAATATTGTATAACGGATTAAAAGGTGCCATTTTGGAGAGACATTTTTGTAGAAGATCATGCAACTCGCAGGAACTGATGTAAAATGCAGACAATGAAGTACATGTACGTATACACCTTACTTTCATGAACAGCGCCACCTATTGTTAGATAATGTCCAACCTCCACCCAAAATGCAGAATATTTACAATCCAGAGGTCTCTCATAATTTTGTTCAAAAAAAGGGATGACGAAAAAATGTCCTAGATGCACCTGTATTTGCCTCAATCTGATTGGTCCATTAATTGATTGATTGAACCACCTGTGGTTAGCTAGAGCAGCTGACGCGTATATCTCTGGCCCAGTCGGGGGGCCTCTGGGCACAGTTTGCCCTCTCCGCTGCCTCTTGCTCCTGGTAGGGATTCTGGAGAACAGTCAGTAAGAAATTGACGGCTGAATAGTCACCGTTCTCAGCTTTGACGATCGCGTCCTGCGCCATCCAATTGCGGAGAATGTACTTGGGATTCACAGCTGTGAAATCATGAGAAAATAAAAACTTACAATTTAATTTTTCTCTTTCTTAAAAGCAAGTTTAGGACTAATAAAAGTAACTTTGAAATTTTGTTGAGATAATTTGCAGATAAATCATTTTAAAACTGGATAAGCATTTTTACATCACTCATCACTACATTAGACTTTGACAGAAATGTTAGATAATAATATGGAATAAACTCAATTTCGAAATTGAAGCAAAAATCCTATAATGCGTTAAAATAATTCCCAAAATTTACACTGTTATTAAAAAAAATGTTTAGATTACCATTCATTTGATCTTCTCGACTTGTTGGTGAAGTCTCCTCTCCAGAGGTCCCCGCTCGAGCAGTGTAGACTCTTATCCAGTCTGAAAAGCTGCTGTGCTGTTGGAGATCCTTCAGTGCCCACAGGGAATCTGGTATGTTGTTCAAAGCGAGGTCTGTGACGGACAGCGCCCCCAACTGACGGAATGTCATCGTGAAATCTGCACGGCTGTCCTCCATCAGCTGATAATTTAAAATTTAAGATAGGAAAATAGTTATTAACCCTAACCCCTTGGATATTTTTACTGGAAAGTATCCAAAATCTGCCAAAATCCATCAATTTTGCCTTGCAAAAAAATGTTGGTCGCCAGTGAGTCCATCAGAATCCACCAGTTAGCCGGGAGTAAATCTGTTGAGATCCTGAATCCATCAAAGTCCCCCAACTGCTCAATAGGGAGGTGTCCTGAATCCATCAAAATCCTGCAGTAACTACAGGCTTACTGTCCTGGATCCATTGAAATCCCCCAACTTTTTCAATAAAGAGGTATCCTGAATCGACGCAAAATCTTCCAAAACAGGGGTATGGATTTTGATGGATTCAGGTACATTAGGGTTAAACTAAACACAGAAAGTGTCTACTTTTTGTCCAAGTGAATGTTTGCAGTAATGTTTCTGACTAAAGTCAACGCATGATTGAAACGTGACGAATCTCAAATCTAACTGGGGTGTTCTTAGGCAGGCCACTTTACCCATGTATTTTCCTCAGTTTGCCATGGAGTAGGTACTAACATTAGCCGGGGAATACCCTGCATCCCAACTGAGAATAGAAATGTCTTCAACTGTGTCATGCTAGGGAAATTGACGATAAACATTGGCCTTATAACCAAAATTAGCTCCATTGAGATTTGACATTTTAAGAATGAAAGCTTGTTCAACAACAGCAACTAATAGTTATAAATTCATACCTTTAAGAGAAGGGCCACTATATATTCATCCTCATCCTCTTCTCCAGCTAGTCCCAGTTTCTTGCGGAATATTTCCATGAAGCGTCTCTTGTATACATCAGCGTAGCCTTGGAGAATCTGGAGCAGACTAAAACAAATATGAAAAAATAAATAATGCTGCCAATCAATTCCAAACTGTTAACATGTTCACGTCGGAAAAGAATTCGAACACTTAAAAGCAAGTGATTTAAAAATGAGTATGTTGCAAAATATTAATAACTGGTTGGTTAGTAGAAATACTTTAGTTGGGGGAAGCTTACCAATTTATTGATGATCCTCAACAACTGTTTTTTTTTTGTGGGAAGGGGGGCTTGGATAATGTCTCCTGTTTTTATTAATAATAATCCCATGGGCATTTTTACTAGGAAGTTTCACAATTTTGTGAACTCCTAAAATGTCCTTGAACCCAAGGGCAATGTAGATTCTTAGTGTGAACTTCCAAGTTGTATCAAAAACCAAAGCGTCTACACCCTTTTCAATTCAGCAAAATCCTCCCCAACCTTTACATGGATTATGAAGGACCCAGGAGGGGTAGGGGTTAGGCATTTGGGACAATAAGATTTTGGAGGGTTAGTAATCTGCGCCAATTAATTATACACCTGAGGCTCAATATCATGACTCACTGTTTAGCTTGCTGTTGATCGACCAACGGTAGCAGAGCTTGTCTCAACTTGTCCAGGTTGAAGTGCCCGACGTCTGGCTGTTTCTCGTAGCTGTATCGAGCTTCGTCGTCCGAAGTATTCGGGACAAAGTCTGGGATGTAGGCGTCGAGGAAACCAAACGGTCCGTAGTCAATGGTGAGGGACAAGAGGCTGAAATTATCTGTGTTCATTACTCCTGAAAAAAAAATGAGTTGGTATGAAATCTTATAGGAAAAAAAACACCCACTCAATATGAACTTATCAACTTTTCAAACTTAGAGTTCTTTTGTGGATGAATGGGCAAAGGCTGGTTATTGGACAATGTTGCCGTCTTGAAAATAACTATTTTTGGATATCGCTAAGCGAAAAGACGTGTTTTGATAATTTAAACATGCCATTTTCAAAAGTTAGAAAGTTTAATTTGTTCGAAGATTGGATGTTTATTTGTATTTCTTCTCCAGGTTACAAATATGATAAGGAAGAAAAGTTCAAGATCATCAGGAGAAAAAAGCCTGAAACCCATTTTTATCCCCAAAATTAACACCTCAAAACCATGCAATTATTTTAAGAATGTCACCAACCCAAACTGTGGCCCTGGGAGGAATCGAACCCAGTTCACCAGAGGTTGAAGACGATTCATAAAATCCCTCACAGCATTCTCTTACCATGAGCGAAGCCGACTGACATCCACTTAGCGATCATGTTAGCAGTTTGTGAGACGACTTCAGAGTAGAATGCCAGGTAGCGGTTGTCGTCAAGACTGTCAATATGCGGGAAGTAATGCTTAATCACAAAATCTGTCAGCTTTCTGAAAGAAAACAGGGTTCCAAACTTTATTTGCAAGTGTTGAGTGAAGAACTTAAAAATTGTCTTTAAGATCGCTCATGCCAATAACTTACCTCGAAATTTCTGGTCATAAGCCATTTCAGCTAGAAACTTCGCCTTGCCAAAAAAAAAAAAAAGATCCCAATAAATAAAATAATAATAATAATAATATGAACTTGGCAACTTTTCAATTCATTGATTTGTTTCTCTACATACTTTCTGTTTTAAAGATTAAACATTTAAGCTAGATGGCACTGTGTGTTGTCTTTCTTTCATCTTTCTGCTTCAATTGTTTTTTTTTTTTCTGGACATGAGAAAGGTCCAATAGACGCTTCCCAGAAATTGAGTATAAAATTCACAAGCATTTTTATTGTGTTAAAGGAGTGATTAAAACAGGAATACAAGCTTTACCTTAGGAGAGGTATCTCTTGATTGTTGGTCAGGATTTCCAAGGAGCCGATACGGAACCAGGATGGAGCTAATCGTAGGACGACAGCAGCCTGCTCTTGCTTCGGATGACCATCGTAAAACTGGTCTCTCCAAACTGGATCCGAGCTTACTGACAGACTGCAGGCGTGATTAAAAACAGGGAAAATTATGTATCAAGTCATTTTCATTGAAATGGGTGGATCCTTAAATCCATAGAATATAAACAGGTGTAAGGATTTCCGTGGCTTGTGTTTTACAGTATTTTATTGTTGGTGCTTTTTCAAGCCCCATCTATAACCAGTAGAAATGCCTTAAGATTTTGCAAAATCTGGGCTGGATTCATCTTTGAAGTACACATAATTTTGAAACTAAACAGGATATCAACCAGCCAACATGCTGAACACAGGTGATTCTTAAAGCCAAGATTTGCTGCATAAATGAGTGATTTTCTGTTTTAACTAGCGACTCATTTAAAGCTATAGTCCATCATTTGTAATTTGTGCATTTTGTTCGTTTGAAGCAACAAAAGAGTTCAAATCTAATAAAGGATACTAAGCAACTAACCTGATAAAGTTTCAGCTAAGCTTCAGCTGTACATTCCGAGAAAAACAGCATTCTAAGATCTCAATTTCAAATCAAAAGTTACTGAATCATGTTTTGAATTGCAGCTATACGCGACGTCGCGCACTGATCCGACGAATTATAACAACTGCGGGCGTGTGCGTCGTTCCAATACTTGCGCGCGCTGCGCTGAATAACAAACGAACTACTAATTTAAATTTTCCTACGGTGCTTCTTAAGAATCACCGTTGGAAATGCCTTCTTACGTTGATTACTTCAAAATGACAGCTTCCCAGAAAGAATAATTTCACAGGGAGTTCCCTTACTATCTTTCAACTAAGTTTGTTTTTCAACAATAATTACGCCAGTTACTTTTCGGATGGCTGCAAATGATGGACTATAGCTTTAACTCTCTGATTGAATTAGGATTGATGAGTTTTTACCTGAGGGCTCTGGAGGTAGGAATCCCCAAGTGATACATAGCCTCAGAGCAGAGGAACTCCCTAACTGATGATCTCAGCACCGCCCTGCCATCACCGCGTCTGGAGTAAGGTGTCAGGCCTGAACCCTTCAGCTGCAACTCCCACCGCTTGCCTTTCCTGGGAGAAAGAGAACACATTTTGTCTTACCCTCAAGGCCTTATGCTTCATCAAACGAGGGTGTAACGTGCCAACGGACTCAGTGCATCCATTACGGTGACGACTGAATATGAAAGAGTTCTCAGCCTCAGCTTTGATAGTTAATTTTCCCATGTAACCTGAAGTCTGTGATGTAGCCGAAGTTTCATTTGATCCTTATGCATGACCGCACAAGGGCGCTATAACACATCAATCGTCACCTCTTTCTGATCTATCGATACCGAGGTTGAGTCTCAAGTTCTTGGCTATGGCTAACGGTTACACTCATCATGTCTATGGGAATTGGCTTCTTGTGTACTTAGCCGTAGTACAAGCCGTAGTCGAGTACTTCAGACTCAGCCCTACAGTTTGACAATGTTTAGATACCTGTTGAGGTATTCGCCTAGCATGACTGCCCTTCCGTCGCCAAGCTGGCCAGACCAATATCCAAACTGTGGGGGTAATATGAGAAACATGACTTTGAAATTAAAGTGAAACAACCTAAAATTGAAGAGAATAATAAACAAAAGAAGAATATTCGAAAAGAAGTATTATTTTTAAGGCGGTCTTATTTTTCATTGAATTTTATACCTATTTTTAAATATATTTTGTATGTTACATGTACCATTCAAGTTAGGATTGACAGGCTTTCGAGTCACAGTGTTTTATTATACTTTTGTCAATCCTGGCCAGCTTGGATTGGATTGTTTTTGTTTAGTTTTGTTTACTTTTGTGGATTGCTTGTTGTACCTTGTAATTTGGCCGGATAAATAATAATAATAATAATACAATTAAACTTGGTCATAACAGGATAATAATATGCAAATTGAAACTGAGAACAAGTTCATGATATATATCATGAACTTGTTCAAAACAAGGTACAAAAGCCATCACTTCTGTTTCTAACAAAAAAGTTACAAAAGCCATCACTTCTGTTTCTCCTGTTTTAAGATGAGTGCCCTTTTAAATTCTCCTACAGACAATTCTTTTAACCCGATGTAATGCCTCTTAAAAACAAGCAATACTTTTGCCTAAAGTCTAAAGAAAGGTTTTAATTTGAAAAAAGTATAAAACTTGAGGTTTATTTAAATTCACCTGGTGGCCTCCATAACGATGGGCAAGCGGCACCGAGCCTGGAAGAAATGTACTCCCGCTAACAAATGCTTTGAAGAAGTCCGAGTTCCTCACACTTGTTGGGTCAAGATCCAAGATATCAGTCGCCACAGGCTCAGATATAGCAACAAGGTGTGTTGTTGATTTCATTGGAATTGGAAACACTTTGGAAAATATGGCATTCTTCACTTGGCGAACATAGTTTTCTTCAATTCTGTCTATTGGGAAAGTTTCTGTGATTCAAACAATAAAAAATATGGAATTTTAAAATTCATTTAAAGAAGCTAAAAACATGTCGATTATCCGACATCGAACAAGCATTTTGGGAGCAGTAGTATAACAATAATTATATATGGGTACGGGTTATCCAAACTCAAAGATATTTGTTTTTATTGTTTTCAATACATTTCGTGTTTTTTTTCTTCAAGTTAACCGCGATTGCATGACATATGTCACATGATGACTGGCAGCATGTCCTGAGAACTTAAATTGAACCTCATTTGATATTGACGATTTTTTTCTAATGTTACTGCTAGAAATAATTCAATTTCAACAAACTTTCTACCAATTAAAATCTGTGTTTCATCGAAATGCCAATCATCAAACGTTGCGACGAGAGCAGGCGTTTCATTGGTCGTCCTGCCATGGTGCCTGCGGTTCCGAGTTGAGCATTTCTTGGACTCCGTTTCACAAGTTCTTTCCGACAAATTCTCCTTTGTAGAATACTTTTCCTCTGCATGTGATTGTGAGTTCTCTTCATCACGACAGTCCTCCAGGTGGCCAAAAGAAAGCGAACAAATCAAGATAATGAACAAAATAGAAGTTTGTTTTTGGAACCGGAAACACGAAAGTGAAGCCATGGGCGCAGCCATTTTTAATAGACTGGCTACCAGTACTACTTCAAGTACTTGTATCAGACTGGCTACCAGTACTACTTCAAGTACATGTACTTGTATTATCCGGGGACTCAGGCGTATTTCGTGCCCCCCCCCTTAGAATTAGCTGTCTTGCTCTCGAACTATAAGTGAACATGTATTCAAATCGCTGACTAGCTGCTTCGAGTGTCCAAGGGCGGATCCGGGGGGGGGGGGGGCGCAACGGGGGCCATGCCCCCCAAACGAACCCAATTTCTTTTTAAGTGACGTCTCGCGCAATAAAGGCAGGCAATTAGATCACTACCATCTTTTCCTAAAAAAACATTGGTTAAAGCAGTGGCGCACCGCGGGGGGGGGGGGGGGGGGGAGATTAAAGCCCCCAAGCGCCCCCCCCCCCTTGTCAATTTTTTTTTTTTTTGGTACTTTATTTTTTTTAGTCTCACGATTTTACCTTGATGTATGGCGCCACGTCAAAAATAGTCCGCCCCCCCCCCCCCGAAAAAAACCCTCAATTTTTTTTTTTCTGCGGCCAAAGATTTTGGGCAACTTTAAAAAAATTGAGGGTTTTTTTTTTTTTGACCAAACTTTTTTTGGCCAAAGATTTTGCCCAAAGATTTTGGGCAACTTTAAAAAAATTGAGGGTTTTTTTTTTTTGACCAAACTTTTTTTGGCCCCCCCCTCCCAAAAAAATTGCGTTCTGGATCCGCCCTTGCGAGTGTCTTCCGTCAAATTAGGATTGTACTCTGACCATTTGCAAGGGAGTTTCAAAGCGAGGTTTAACTGGCAATGGATACAATATATATCTCGATCGATGCTTATCACCACCTACAAAATTAGGCATGGACGGTAACGACGAGTAATGATTAAATTTACGTGTGCTGCAAGTAGCATGCAAGTAGCATGCTAGCTATTCTGTCGAATTCATGCTGCGGTTCTGTGGGTGCAGGAAGTACACAGTGTCGTTGCCAAATACACATCCCATGCAATATTGATACAATTTATGACCCGTGTCCGTTTCAAGTCATCTCGCCACGGCACTCGAGGGTCTAGGGATTATAATAACCGCCTGATTGATCACACATTGAAGCGAGTGTATTAACGTGCATTGACTACATAATGCGGCAAGCCCTGGGCCGGCCTTGTATGATTGTGTAATGTGTGTATGCTGTATGTATAGGACTACTTAGTGTTTGTACGTGAGAGGGCTAGAAGACGTGCACTATTACTTCGTCTAGCTGGGGACCGAATAAAACATCGTCTCTGGGCCGGGGGCAGACTACAATCCGTACCGATTACTGCATGAAAGGCGGTCTGAAACCTGACATCCGAGATAACCATCCAACAACACGGGCATCAGTGACGGTCAGTTCACGCGGCGCTACGATCTTTGGTTTGCAGTTAAGCTACAAAATTCACCTTTGAATTAGATACGCTAATCTGTTATCGCACGTTTCGACATTGACTATCGACCAAAGGGCAATGAATGAATAGTTCAAAGGGTATGTACATGTAGACTGCTGAGACTGTCTGCTCACATCACACCATCGCAGCCCTTCATGAGGTGACCTTGCAGAGCGTCGAGGTAAGTTTGGCACTCTTTCTTTATTGAATTTACTAACTGGCTTGAGCTGAGGGCGTAGGCATGGTGGCCGAACTCCATAGCCTTTACGTACGTACGTACGGATGTGACATCCATTGAACAACGATTATTCTTAAAACCATGTATTCCGAAAAACGGAAATAAATTTCCTATTAAAAAAAATACATTGTCACGAACTTTCACAAACTGATGTGGACGAAGTCGCAAGAGCCTTGTATGTAAGTTGTATGCTTTCGGGAGCCTATTATAGGCCGCGCCTGAAGTTGAAGCACCGTTTTCTGCCTCATTTTTTTTAAAACCAAATATCGATCATAAACTTTTTGTTGCCTATATGTCCTAGTATTGCTTACACCGTATACCCAATTTCTACATCACCTTCCAACATGTCAAAGGATATAGTGACATGTGTTTTGTATATACTTTTTTCGTCCTTTTTGCAATGTTTGCCCTAAAGCCGGCTGCTTCATGTACAGTGGCTTTGAAAGTTGACAATAAATATTATTGTTAGCACACGCATCATAAAGATGACAATAAGTTGTAAGCACACGCATTATTATATGCTGGCATATCGCGAGTGAAATTAACCTCTAAACACTTCCAAAGGAATGAGGAAGCAATTATTTATCATCCTGCGGGCGCTTCCGAGTCCTTTTCAAAGACCGACCCCGTCAATAGTTACACATGCACACTTCATATACCATGCATGGGAGCTTGATCACTCGATTCGCATAGTCCCGTGGTTTATAGATCTTGTGACCTCCAACAGAGTGCATCTGATTATGTCTGTGAAAGGTGGCTGACCTTAAAGCACGTATATTGTCGTCCACCGTCCGTCTGTAATCGACCGCGCAGAGGCCAGAGGCAGCAGTTAATTGTAATTATCAGTAGACTCTTGATTATATCTTCCAAATAACACTACACACCGTTTTACAAAAGAAACATTATACATGTGTATATATAATCACATAGATTGTCTATCAAATTTATATTTTGAATCATTGCCAAAGGCAGATATAGGTTTTTTATACGGGCAGTTAAAAATGCATTTTGAATCAACTTTAATTTGCGATCGTGTGTTGATTTGAGGCGTCCGAAAGTTAGGAGGGTTTATCCATGTGACTTGGATCGTGAAGTCCCTTCGAAAAGCACTTCTTCCTTTGATAATTTTGTACTTAACTTAACTTAAACTCACTTGTGACAAATAAAATTAAAATTGGAGGATTAGGAAATTTTTAAGCTGTTAATTTGGTGGTACGGTCTTAATTCGGTTGCAGGAAATACAAATAATCGTTTTGATAAATGTGACCATGTTCTGCGATTGCCTTTAATGTCTTCCGCTTCATTTGTCGGTGAACTCAGTATAAAGCATTAGAATCGTACGTGAGTTCTGTGCTGGATATTAAATGACCTTTGGCCTAATGTTATCGCGTTGTCATTGGGTAAATAGATCCACTAGACAGTTATATTGACTTAACTCCATGGCTAGGCTAGGTGTCATTTTTACGCCACGCGTTGCAGACTATAGAAACCCCGTGCTATACTGAACTTTAGACGTTGTTATAGACTTAAATGATGTTGCGATAAGTCTTTTCCCACGTGTGTATAGCTTTAACCCATTCCTTTGATGGTTGGTGTGGCCAGATGATTGGTTTTGTTCAACTGTTTAAAGTTTAGGGTGTGGCAAACATCCACGAAAATATCCATCGTCCAATCAACTGTGTTTTCCTGTTTTGCAGATCTATCTTATTTTGGACTTCCAGTAACAACGATCCTCAAGTACCTCGACCATGGTATGGAAATTAGCGGCCACCGTACTTCTGATAGGCCTTGGTATTGCCTACATGAATGGCCTCTTCAGTTCACCACCCGGACCGCCAGAGGTTGGTGATGGCTGGTGGGGACGAGGTGACAAACCTGAGAAGGAGGAAGACAAGTCGGTCAAGAGATTCAACATCCACTTTCCGAACAAAGATCTGGCGGATTTGAAAGGTGAGATATTAATATTTCAATTGGCTGTTTGCACGGGTCCGCCATCTTTGAAATCAAAGCGAGGCAGACGGGTAAAGAAAAGATCCTTTCGCGCGTACCTATTACGTAAGAATCCATTCGTGACCACTGCGGACAGACTCTCTCTCAACCAACCGAGTAAATATCGAGTTAATGGTCATTCTATAATTTTACGGTCCATTCCAGCTTTCGTGTTATTCTTGTAATCTTTCTTCTCTACTCTTCTCTTTTGTTTCATCTCTGCAGATCGCCTCAACAAAACTCGTTGGTTTGAGGGCGTGGAAGACACCAAGTTCCACTATGGCATCAGGCCCGAATACATGAGGAAAACAGTGGATTACTGGCTGAACAAATACGAGTATGTGTGTTCGGGACTATCATTACCCGGTACCATTCTGTATTCATGCATAGCGCATTGACCAAGTTCCACTCTTTGAAAAAAAGTTTCGCGATGTAAGATCAGATGACATAAACGATGCTCGGAGAAACCTTTTTCCAAACACCACCAAGCCACAATACGTCGTCGTAGTTCTCATTGAAAAGGTGTTAATATTATACCAAATGACGCATCATGAACATCATTTTGCCAGCTGTGTTAATATATAATTTCTTTGATTAAAAGCGAGTCATTTCATCTTTAAACTTTGTTTTAACCTTTAAAGGTTGCTAGCCATTTCCTCCTATAGTAACACAGTAGAAGTGAACTTTTATTCAGTTGACAGTGCTAGGACGGCCATCTTTTTAAGGGAGACTATGCAATGGACGGTATCGGATTAGGTATATAAACCCCGCCCGCCGTAGTTTCACAGTGCACGTGACTGAGTTTGACCAAACTACTGTGGTCACCTGACAAAGAGCGTTGATCCGATTGGTCAATGCGCACTGCTTGATTGACGGCCAGGAAGAGCCAATAAAAGGACATCCATTTCAACTTCTTTTTTTTGTGTACAGTTGGCGCAAAATGGAGAAAGAGTTGAACCAGTACCAAAGCCACAAGACGAAGATCGAGGGAATCGACATTCACTTCGTGCGAGCCGTGCCTCGATTGAAGGTTGGCCAGAAAGCCAAACCCATTATAATGGTTCATGGCTGGCCTGGCTCATTCTACGAGTTCTACAAGGTAAAATGGAGACCATTATTACCATGTCGATTCCAAATTTGCCCAATAATGACGGTTTAAAATACAAATGTATTTGCCAAACTTAGTAAATGATCATAGAAGACTAAATATTGTTGTCATCTCCTTAACCATGCACGGTGAACCTTTTTATGTGAAAAATAACGCTTAGAACTTAAACACTGTCTTTTATAAATGTACCAACTTTTTTCACGTGTTTAAATTTTTTTAAGGAAATGTTGCAAGAAATTATAAAGGATTTGACGTGTTCTATACTCTACAACGAATTTAGACACAACAGAACAGAGGACTTTTAGATGTTTACTTCACGATATAAAGCTATATCTTATCTTTTTTTCGGTCTTCAGATAATCCCTATGTTGACCGACCCCACTCGTCACGGTGGGAACGAGGATGATGTATTCGAGGTTATCGTTCCCTCTCTGCCCGGCTATGGCTTCTCCGAGGCTGCTCACAAACAAGGTACGAACAGCGCCCTCACATGTTCAAAAATATGGCCTATACGCCATAGATGACCTGTCATGACGCCATTACCAGTTTTGATGAAAACATTTGTTTTTGTAGGTATGAATGCCAAAGTTGCTGGACGTATATTTCACAAGTTGATGACCCGTCTTGGGTTTGACAGCTACTACGTGCAGGGTGGTGATTGGGGGTCTATGGTGGTGGACCAGATGTCGGGCATGTTCCCAAGGTGGGTACAATAGTCTTTGCAACAACACATGAGCTTAATAGACGTGCTGCTTAAATAACGCTTACCATTTACCTGCTGGGCAAGTGGGCAAACAATTTCCTCGAAAAGTTGTCTGGAAAATTGATCATTATGAAATATTCTATGGGAAAAACTTTTTTTCGAAACTGAAAAGTTGTGATTTTCAACGCTGAGCTCGTATACGGTTATAAATGTTGCTGTGGTCTGAAAAACTTACTACTTACCAAAAAAATACCTTCTTCGAAAAATACCTTCTTCGTAAGTTGGCCATCAACCATCTTCATTAAAAGCCGCATAATGTTCCTCTTATTATTATAGGCCTTAAATTCATTCTGTACCGACATTAAAGTGGGAATGTTAAACCACTGACATTCATTATAAAACAATGTTAATCACGGAAAAGTCGAAAGGAAAACATTTCTCAACAAAGCTGCGATCTGGAATTACGGTTAAGATTCAAAATGGCGTCCGGTTCATACCTTTGCAGCCACGTCCGCGGCGTGCACGTCAACATGATATCTGTCCAACCGTCAGTCAGTCAGATGATTCTGGGCGCTGTGTTCCCGTCTCTGGTGCTGGAAGACGAGGGTTACGCCAGGTCCCTGCCCAGCTGGCAATCGCTCAAGTTTGGTCTGATCGAGCTTGGGTACCTGCACTTACAAGCAACCAAGCCTGATACAGTTGGTAAGTAATTTATAACTGAAGACATGCATGATCATTTTACGAATAACCGCCAGACCAAAAGTAGGTATTCTGTTGCGTTGCATTGTGGGACAGCTTTCATTTTATAAAGGTACTCACAAAGAAAAATTTTCACATTGAAGAATGTCATATTGTTAGTTATAATAATGGGTATTTATAAAGCGCAGCTAACCACCATTACTGGTACTCAAGGTGCAATATTATTATTACCCTGCTCATTGGGCCCATGAAACATTCCAAAGACAGTCTCGGCCCCTGGGTAGTATACATCACGATGCTGCCATTTCGGTGCAAAGCAGCTAAAATCAACAACAATAACCACCTCTGCCCTCACAGGTACGCATTTACTCCTCGGTGGAGAGAAGCAATGAGCGACTTGCTCAAGGGCACACCCACCATAACCCCAGGCTGGACTCGAACCCATAGCGTGCAGAATTAACTGCAGGCAGCTCTTTGATCAACATCATAATTATAACCTTTGACCTCCAGGTCACGCCCTGACCGACTCCCCAGTCGGCCTAGCCGCGTACATCATCGAGAAGTTCTCCGCCTGGACCAATTACGACTGGATTGACCTGGATGACGGCGGGCTGGACGCTCATTGGTCCAAAGACGACCTGCTGACTAACGTCATGATCTATTGGGTGTCGGGCAGCATTACGTCATCCATGCGCATTTACAAGGAAACCGTCCCGATCGCCCACAGTATGGCCAAGTAAGTCCGAGTTGCCGCTTTTTCTTGAGCTGTGGGGGATGGGATGAATTTAGAAGTGAGATTTGTGAACGAGAGACATGCAAGTTTCAGTTTCAATAGTGTGCACATGTAGTTCGAGAAACCATACAAATGATTCGACTTGTCCGGAGCCTTTCTGAATGTAGATGCTCCTACCCGAACAGAAAACTCACAAGCTTACAAAATCCCATCTTGCTCCAAAGAATATTACAATATGTCTTTATTTCCCCGCACTGTAAGTCAATGGAACAAGCTTCCCGAATCTACTGTAGAGGCGTGCAACCCTTCCAAGTTTAAGCATATACTATAAACTAATGGGGTTCTAATGTCAAAATAGTAAGCGATGCACTCCATCCACAAGCTGCGCGCCCAATGTGCCTCAGTCCTCAACAATATGAAGTTGAGGCATAACTTGGAAGAAGAAGAAGCAGTGGAATAGAACTGTGTGTGCTTTGGGCCTGGGACAAGCTTAAGCTTGCATACTCTTGTCTTTCAGGTTCTTAAACACCGTACCCGCAGGTTTAGCAGACCTGCCCCACGAGCTGTCACGATGCCAGAAGAACTGGGCGTCCTCTCACTACACGGACATCGTCTCCTACACGACGTACCCCGCGGGCGGCCACTTCGCGGCATTCGAGGTGCCCGAACTACTGGCCAAGGACCTCCGACAATTCACGCAGAAGGTGGAGCAGCGTCTGTTGATGAAGAAAGAGGAATAAATTGCGAAGTGGATGTTAGTCAGAAGTCATAGTCGCAGGCAATAACCCATAATAAAAACAGCGAATGTGTATACAAACCAATTTACATGTATCCCAAATACAAAGGCTTAGCACATGCGCAGTTGAAAGCTGCGTCACGTGTGCAAAATGGCCCAATTGGCAGCAGGCCGGTAAGGGCAACTTTGGTTTGGTGCACATTATTGTCACTGAATAGACCTTTATCATGCTTCCACGATTTCAGTCATGTTCCCTGTATCCAATAATAGTACTGAAACATAATTATTTGTGTGAATAATTATTGGTGTGAAAAATTTAAGGAATCAGACTATTTTTCCTTCCAGCCTCTCTTTGGTTACATTGATGTGAATGGGAAAAATCCAAATGGCCGCAACATGATTGTCTATTGTGGTGTCTACACTACTGATTATTATGACTGTGCTATTGATGAAATTGGGCACCTGATGACCAAGGACAATAGAGGGCGCTATAACCAAATTAGGCTGCATCTAATAAAATGTTCCTTCTGAAATCTTCTTAATTAATTGGCGGAATTTTCCAAACGAAGTTATATACTTCGAAGATTTCCTGATCAGCTGTCTTTTGTTTTTGTCACATTAAGAGCAAGCCATTCAAGTGACACTTTAAATTAGCAATATTAATTTACAGTGTAACAAAAACATAAATGTGTAATATTCAAATTCAATAATTTATGAAACTGTGCAACATTAATTACCCCCCCCCAAAAAAAACCCATAGAATAATCCTCGCTTTTTGCTACCTTTTTGCCTTACCCTAGAATTAAATTAGCTATAGTTTTCGCTCGAAATTGTTATTCAAATCGATTACTGTTTCATTGTCTTCCGTCAAAGTAGATTTTACTGGGACTTATTCTCCATTTGCAAGGGAGTTAAGTTCAAAGAGAGCTAGGCTTAACTGGCAAGGAGCCAGCCAGTTGATATCTAGTCACCTACCTACAAACAAGGCATGACAACTCAAGTTACATTTAACACTCGAAAAGGCAGGCCTACTCTGAGCCTCACTTCTGTTCAAATTACATGGAGGAAGGATCATGCATTACTGGTTCCGTGCAAGGAAGTGCATTTTGGCTTATCACCATGAATTTGGCTTATCACCAAGAAACAGAAATAAAGTACATTTGATGAATTATGAAATGACCTGTGTCTGTTCCGATTATGACCTCTACGCGGCGCCATTATGGATCCAGACCAGTATTGAATAGGCCAACGATTGCTCACGCCGGCCAAGGCCATGAACTTGAGGGTTTGTAAAAAAATAAGGGCGGAAGTGCAAGGACTCGACTGTGAGCTTGTGTTTCTGTGAAATTTGGATGAAATTGGGCGCTAAAAGTGCTCTATTTTGCAATGGAGTGTACTATATAGGCATATCGTTTTTCAAAATGGCGATGGGCTCCGGGACTAATTTTCAGGGTGATCATCTTCGGATGGGAATTTCTCCCAAAAGTTATCAGATTACCCCCCCCCCCCCAAAAAAGAACAGAAAATGAAAGATGACGAAATGAGCAGTTTGATGCGTGTTCGTTGAACACCTTGGAGAGTGAGTTTATTTTTAATAATTTGGGAAGTGCGCGTAAAAGGGATTGTATGTATAAGATCCAGTCACCTGAATGATCACGTTAAAGTTAGTGTGCGCATGTGCAGAAAAGTGCATTGACTATACCTGTACACAAGCCTTGTGATTTTACGCTAGTGAATAATGCATGTATGCAAGGTCAAGGATACGTGCTTATAGTCATAATATAGGTGTATACATCGTCACTGAACTACTCCCTACATAGGAGGCAGACTACAACCCGAACAGAGTACCTCACGGAATACGGTCTGAAACCAAACCCTCCCAGCAACCATCAAATTGTCATATGTGTCGCGTTTGTGCATGCAGTTCCTACAGAATTAACCTTTGAGTTTTATTCACCGAGTATCGAATAGTTCAAAGGGTATGTACATGTACATGTAGCCTGTCCTGCACACATCATACCATCGCCGCCCTTCTATATGAGGTGACATTGCAGAAATTGCAGTAAGTTTCAGCACGTACCCTTTATTGAATGAAAGGCCTACGTGAAAAGTGGAGTAGGCCGTTAAATATGCGGATGGGATATTAATTTGATGCAGAGCTCTGACAACGATTATTTATCAACGATTATTTATCGTATGACCTTCAGGATAAAGCATGCTAAAATGCGTGTTTTTTAAATACAATTATTTGACTATCATATTATTATTACAAATACTTCGGCATGTTCATTTGCCGTAATTAAAGCTAGCTGCTTCATGTATAAAATATATAATGATCTTGTTCTTCACCGAGTGCTGTGCGCTAAATCCTATTCAAAGGAAATTGACCCGGGACATCACAAAACCGCACACTTTATTATACCGTGCATAAAAACAGCTTGCATCAATCGGTCAATACAAGGGCCAGTTGCATATAGATATTTCTGACCACAATAAAATGCATGGTCTGTGGACTTGGCTGACCTTACCGATGGACAATGATTTCTGTCAGCAATTGACTGCGTCAGCCAGGTCGCAGTACGTAGCCTAGAAAGACCGTCAATATTTGTCAAGGAAAAGAGTAATTTTGTCAAGGAAAAGTGCCATTTGACCCGGAAAAGTGACCAATTTGACGGGAAAAAGTGTAATTGAGACCTGGAAAAGTGTCACATTGGCCCGGAAAGTGTCATTTAAAAAGTCGGGGCGAATTTACCCCGGATTCGGGTCAATCATATGTAACCTGAGGCGTACGTTTTACAGTGTGGCATAATTAAGGCGTGGCAAAACACCAAGCAGAACTCTAGTCAACTAACCTGTGTGTTTTCCTGTTTTGCAGATCTATAGACTTCCAGTATACCGGTAATAACGATCCTCTACCTCAACCATGGGATGGAAAATAGCGGCCACCGTACTCCTGCTAGGCCTTTGCATCGCCTACATGAGTGGCCTCTTCAGTTCACCACCCGAACCACCAGAGGTCGGTGATGGCTGGTGGGGACGAGGTGTCAAACCTGAGAAGGAGGAAGACAAGTCGGTCAAGAAATTCAACATCCATTTTCCGGACAAAGATCTAGCGGATTTGAAAGGTGAGAAATAAATTTGCTGTTTGAAAGGACCGCCATATTTGAATTCAAAGCGAGGCAGACAGGTAAAGCAAATATCATTTGCGTAATATATTATGACTTAAAACTGTGCATGGCGGTTATACTGGTGGCAGCGAGATCTTTGGTTACGTATTCCAAGTTTCGTGTTTTATTCTTGTAATTTTTCTTCTGCAATCTTCTATATTATTCTTCATCTCTGCAGAGCGTCTTAGGAAAACCAGATGGTTCGAGAGTGTGGAAGACACCAAGTTTAACTATGGCATGAAGCCCGAGCACATGAAGCCCATTGTCGATTACTGGCTGAACAAATACGAGTATGTGTGTGTGTGGAAATTATTACCCAACTAGGCGGTTACCCTAGTAACTTGATGCAAGCGCCCCCCCCCGCCCTCGCCCATGTCTTTCAGGCTTGCTGTCAGTTTGAAGAAAGCAATAAAAGAAAGTCAAATTCAAAGATGCGTTAGTCAGTGACGCATTTTTTGGAAATTTTCGTTAGTAGTTGGTTTGTAATTCGGCGAATCCGTGAATGGGTGCGCGGAAGCGTTGACAAGACGCACACGCGCGCGCGGCAGCTATAATGCGTCGGTTCAGTGCGTGACATCGCGTGGCTGCAACGGCTGAATGAGAACGTGTCCCGGATGCTGATTTGTTGCTCTTTGTGGTTAAAATAATACAGTTGGCGCAAGAAGGAAAAGGAACTTAACCAGTACCAGAGTTTCAAAACGAAGATCGAGGGAATCGACATTCACTTCGTGCGAGTCGTGCCTCGATTGAAGCCTGGACAGAAAGCCAAACCCATCATGATGGTTCACGGTTGGCCGAGCTCCTTCTACGATTTCTACCAGGTAAAATGAAGACCTTCATGATTCAAAATGAGTCGAAAATGATGGTTTAACAATTCATGCAAATGTACTTTGTACAAACTTAGTAAAGTGTTTATTCTATACGGTTGTTGGTTCTCTGGTGACCTTTTTTTAATCACCCTAAACCATTCAGAATTATATTACTAAGAGTGATAGTGCTACTACACTAGTGTTTATACCCCAGTAGACGAGAATATTGGAGAGTTTAAAAAAAACAGTTTTACGTATTACAAACAATTTTGATTCTGCAGTTTCTTCATTAGACATTTTGTAGAAAGCTTAAATTGTTACTTTTTTGCTCTTCAGATAATCCCTATGTTGACCGACCCCACTCGTCACGGTGGGAACGAGGATGATATATTCGAGGTTATCCTTCCTTCTCTGCCCGGCTATGGTTTCTCCGAGGCTGCTCACAAGCCAGGTATGGCCATTTCCCAAACGTTGGTTTCCTCATCGGCTTCGACTTCCATTCCAGAGCTAAAGCCTTCGCTTTGAAGTCCCTTGCTCAAAATGTTTTTTTTTTCATCAAAAAGTGTTAAGTATATAAAGAACAAAAATGCAGGAGCTTATAATTATTTGGGTCCCATATCTTGATTTTGTGTGAACTTTAAACGCATCTCAAATGCCCTGGATTTCGAGACGTAGCCGAAATTGGAGACAAACCCATGGTATTAGAAAGGCACGGATTTCGAGACGTAGCCGAAATTGAAGACAAAACCATGATTTAAGAAAGGCACTTCTCTCCAACTTTCAAGGAAAGCATTGTCTGCTATGTACACAGAAAACACAAAGTGAGTAATTAGACTCACTGTCGTACAAAATGAGTCATCTTGTCCGTATAGTGACACACTTTGGCTCAAAGTGACTCACTACACGGACAAAATGACTCAATCATAACGATATTGAGTCAAATTACTCACTTTGTGTTTTCTGTGTACACTCATTTTTGAAAATGAGGGCGCTGTTTATTTTGGATATACAGGTCCTATGTTAGACAAAATATTTTGTTATTGTAGGCCTGGATTCCAGGGACGCTGGCCGAATATTACACAAGTTAATGACCCGCCTGGGGTTCGACAGCTACTACGTGCAGGGCGGGGATTTTGGAGCTGCGGTGGTGGACCAGATGTCGGGAATAGTCCCAAGGTGGGTACACTATTCTTTACAGCACCAAAGCATTCGCTGAGCCAAGACTCGAATCAGGACGACGTTTGAAACAAATTCATGAAATGGGTATAGTATCCAAAATTTTGAATAACGCATATGATCCAAAGCAGGGTGAGAGCAGGTTGTGATGGGAGCGTACTGCTCGACCCCTGGGAACGAGGTTGAGTCAGTGCTGATGATGCAGAAATGATAAAGTAGAAATGTTATGATATTTAAATTGATATTGTTGAATACCGCATACGGGCGATTCACAATAGTGCGCCTCCAAGAGTTTGCAACGCGTTGGCCAATCACAATGCACGAAATCAGTCGACCTTTTCCAAACGCGCATTGGGTCGACCGATTTTGCGCATTGTAATTGGTCAACGCGTTGCAAATTCTTGGAGGCGCACTATTGTGAAACGACCGTATTACAATCATATGGATTCTGGTAATGGGAAAGAGCGAACGAATACTGTCTTAGCTACGATCTCGAATTCTGGATAAGATTTAAGATGGCGTCTTGGTTGTACCTTTACCAGCCACGTCCGCGGCGTCCATATGAACATGATACCCATCCCGCCGCCAGTCAGTCAGATGATTCTGGGCATTCTGTTCCCGTCTCTGGTGCTGGAGGACGAGGCGTACGGCAGGATCATACCGACCTGGGCATCGATCAAGGGTTATCTTAGGGAGACGGGTTACCTGCACATACAGGCGACCAAGCCTGACACAATTGGTAAGAATTCGGGCGATTCACAATGCAGTGCGCCACCAAGAGTTTGCCATGGAGAATTCATTTTTCCCAGTGCATTGTGGGAGATGGTCGACAAATTTGCAGCGCGGGACATTTGAAATTGTAAGTTTTTCCGGCCAGAAAGTTCGTAAGCGTATGATTCGAGTACTGATCTGTTTGCCCTTTTCTTTTCGTTTTATCAATATGGAGTTTTTTTTGTAAGGCGGCAGAACGCTTTGCCCCAATCTATAACAAATTAGCTCAAGTTTTCTACTGACACTCGTTCAAATGGGCCATGTTTTGTCGACAGTGACCTTGAAAAACGAACTCTCTTTGGCAAACTCTTGGTGGCGCACTGCATTGTGAATCGCCCGAATTCCAAACTGATGATAGTCCAATTGCATCCAAAATGCTCAACATTAGAAGCCCCAAGTCTGAGCTAGAGGTTTATTGCCATATCTCTTCAATTCCCCAATTTAAAGGCTCCTAGAACTCTCTAATTTAGAATATTTTGAGGGTATAACATTTATTCATAGCTCGAGGGATGGGTTTTGGCCTATTTACCGGTGTGCACCCTGAATATGATCCTGACCTTCAACCTTTTGACCCCCAGGTCACGCACTGACCGACTCCCCAGTCGGCCTCGCCGCTTACATCCTGGAGAAGTACTACTGCTCTTCCCATTTCGACCGGCTTGACGTGGACGACAGAGAGCTGAGCGCTCATTGGTCCACCTCATGGGACTACCTGCTGACTAACGTCATGATCTATTGGGTATCTGGCAGCATGACGTCATCCATGCGCTTTTACAAGGAAACCATGCCCAAAACCCTAGAACTAGCAAAGTAAGTGCGTGTTGCTTTGTTTTCGGTAAGGGGGGGGGGGGGGGTCGGAATGAAATTTAAAAAGTGAAATCTGAATATTAAACTGCAGTGATAGCAGCAAAAAACGTGAAAGTTCAATTTCAAAAAATCAATAGTTTACGGGTAGTTCAACAAAACGATAAAAAATGACAGCAACTTAAACGATAAACAATGTAACAATGCCATGGAGATATCAGCACAGAAACCAGCCAAAAAAATGCAGTGCATCGTACACTGACGGTCGCTGGTTCTCGGCGGATTTTTGACAAGGGCATACATTCGCTGAGCAGCGTTTTCTGAAGACAAAAAATCTCCAAGAAACTGGACGCTGTTCCTTCGCCGGGATCATTCTTACAATTTTGCGGGTTTTTTTTAAAGACGATTATCTGGTGGATAGAATAATGGTGCAATTTGGTGTGAAAACTTTTGTTTAGACTGCAAAAAACGGCTTTTAACAATTAAGCACTTTTTTTTATACACTTCCTTGGTATCCCTGAATGTTAACAAACGTGTTAGTTCATAACAAGTTTAAAGTATTGACGAATATAGCATTTAGGCATTCACATTGATGTGTAGGAATTAGAAATGTATTATTGTTGAGCTTCTAAACATGTTTAGCTTACAAGGTATTAGCGAAATTGTGTTTAATTACCAAGTTCAGTGGCGGATCTAGGTTCATTTAAATACAGGAATACAAAGGGATAGATGGGGCACAGACCGACTTGTTCCATTATATTGCTGTATTTTAATGAAGCTGGATGCGCCACTGAAGTTTGGACACGGTATCTAAAAACTGTCAGAACTCCTAGTGCAGGCCGCTGACAGAACAGCATGGAGGAGGACTTTAGTTTCTTCGCCCCTTGGGTCCCCCAACGACGGCAACAGTCAAGGGAAACATGACTGATCTAAAAACTTAAACCAATCTTCTCGCAATATCAGCTTCATAACTGTGTCCACCTTATATCTCAATGGGCAAATACGCACTCTTTTATCATTACCTTTCAGCTTCCTAAACACCGTACCGGCAGGATTGGCAGACCCGCCCCGAGAGTTCTGTCGCTGCCAGAAGAACTGGGCGTCCACTCACTTCACGGACATCGTCTCCTACACGACGTACTCCGCGGGCGGCCACTTCGTGGCTCTCGAGGTGCCCGAACTACTGGCCAAGGACCTCCGACAATTCACGCAGAAGGTGGAGCAGCGTCTGGTGAAGAAAAAGGAATAAACTGAGCTGAAAATTAGTCAGATATCACGATCAGGTCTACATGCATATTCCCGTTCTCAAAACAGCGAATGTGTATACAAACCAAATAACATGTCTCCAGCCAGTTCTGCGATCAACAAGTACTTTGGAATGCCCACTCTTTCTTAGCCAGTGCTGGAAACCGTGTTTCAGTTTCTTCCATCTTGACGCCGTCTCAGATGCCGTCCTAAAAAACTAACAGGAGGTTCTCATTCATTGCAGTGGCTAGTAGATTTAAATAATTGATAGTTGTATTTTCAAAGGTCCATCATTTTATTGTCATCTAGTCTCATTTTATTTGCCATCAAAGAACAGACAATATGACCAAGGACAATAGAGGGCGCTATAACCAAATTAGGCTGCACCTAATATAATGTTTCCTCTGAAATCTTCTAAATTAATTGGCGGAATTTTCCAAACGAAGTTATATACTTCGAAGATTTCCTGATCAGCTGTCTTTTGTGTTGTCACATTTAGAGCAAGCCATTCAAGTGACACTTAAAAATAGCAATATTAATTTACAGTAAGTGTAACAAAAACATAAATGTGTAATATTCAAATTCAATAATTTATGAAACTGTGCAACATTAATTATCCCCCCCCCAAAAAAAAAACCCATAGAATGATCCTCGCTTTTTGGCTACCTTTTTGCCTTCCCCTAGAATTAGCTATAGTTTTCGCTCGAAATTGTTATTCAAATCGATTGCTGTTTCATTGTCTTCCGTCAATTTGAAAGTAGATTTGACTGGGACTTATTGTCCATTTGCAAGGGAGTTAAGTTCAAAGAGAGGCTTAACTGGCAAGGAGCCAGCCAGTTGATATCAAGTCACCTACCTACAAACAAGGCATGACAACTCAACTTGCATTTAACACTCGAAAAGGCAGGCCTACTGTGAGCCTCACTTCTGTTCAAATTACATGGAGGAAGGATCATGCATGACTGGTTCCGTGCAAGGAATACATAATAGTGCATTTTGGCTTATCACCATGAATTTAAGAAACAGAAATAAAGAACATTTGATAAATTATGAAATGACCTGTGTCTGTTCCGATTGACTTAGACGCGGCACCATTATCAGTGGATCCAGACCAGTATTAAATAGGCCAACAAATTGCTCACGCCGGCCAAGATGGGCCATGAACTTGATGTTTAAAAAAAAAATTAAAAAATAAGGGTGGAAGCCGTGCACAGGACTCGACTGCGAGCTTGTGTTTCTGTGAAATTTTGATGAAATTGGGCGCTAGAAGCGCTCTATTTTGCAATGGAGTGTACTATAGGCATATCGTTTTTCAAAATGGCGATGGGCTCCGGGACTAATTTTCAGGGTGATCATCTTCGGATGGGAATTTCTCCCAAAAGTTATCAGATTACCCCCCCCCCCCCAAAAAAAAGAACAGAAAATGAAAGATGACGAAATGAGCGGTTTAATTTGATGCGTGTCCGTTGAACACCTTGGAGAGTGAGTATGCCTATTTTTAATAATTTGGTAAGTGCGCATAATAGGAATTGTACATGTATTAAACCTGAATGATCACGTTGAAGCTAGTGTGCGCATGCGTCAGAAAAGTGCATTGACTATGCATGTACACAAGCCTTGCGATTTTATGCTAGTTAATAATGCATGTATGCAAGGTCAAGGGTACGTGCTTAGTCATAATATATGTGTATACATCGTCACTGAACTACTACCTACAATTAGGAGGCAGACTACAACCCGTACCGATTACCGCACGGAATACGGTCTGAAACCAAACCCTCCCAGCAACCATCACATTGTCATATGTATCGCGTTTGTGCATGCAGTTCCTACAGAATTAACCTTTGAGTTATATTCACCGAGTATCGCGCATTTCGGCATTGACCCATAAACCATCGACCGAGGGCAATGAATGAATAGTTCAAAGGGTATGTACATGTACATGTAGGCCTACATGTAGGCTATCCTGCACACATCATACCATCGCCGCCCTTCTATATGAGGTGACATTGCAGAAATCGCGGTAAGTTTCAGCACGTATCCTTTATTGAATGAAAGGCCAATGTGAAAAGTGGAGTACAGGCCGTTATATGCGGATGGGATATTAGTTTTATGCAGAGCTGGAACAGCGATTATTTATCAAGTTAAACTGTATTTACGCGTACGACCTTCAGGATAAAGCATGCTAAAATGCGTTTTTTAAATACAATTATTTGACTATATTATTACAAATACTTCGGCATTTTCATTTGCCTTAATTAAAGCTGCTTCATTTATAAAATATATAATGATCTTATTTTTCACCGCCTGCTGTGCGCTAAATCCTATTCAAAGAAAAATGACCTGGGTACACTTTATTATACGGTGCATAAAACAGCTTGCATATCGGTCAATACGAGGTCCATGCATGTAGGTATTTCTGACCACAATAAAATGCATGGTCTGTGGACTTGGCTGACCTTACCGATGGACAATGATTTCCGTCAGCAATTGACTGCGTCAGCCAGGTCGCAGTAGCCTAGAACGACCGTCAATATTCCACTTACGAAAAATCAGTAAAAAAGCCCTATAGGTTGCCATGTACTGTCCATTAATTAATATATCTTGGAGTCATATCGCGATGTGCCTGTTTTAAAACGGGCAGTTGAACATGAATTTTGAATATTTCTCATGTGTTTAGGCAAAAAAAGAGTTCTGTTTCCAGTTACGTGGCATTCGAAAATAGTGTATGTAGGTAGGTTTTTGCCATTTTGTTGTGTACGATCATAATGTACCATCATAATGAGGCGTCTGCGTGTAGTCAAGAGTAAAAGGTAGAAATTGAAGGTTGTCGGTGTTTTTCCCCTCATTTTTCCCATTAAAAAAAATATTTTGGTAGGGGCTGTCAGAATAGGGTATGGAAATTGGAAGCAGACAACCAGAGCAATTTGTTTTGCCTTATTAATAGAGACGTTTGAAAATTAGGCCAGGCTGAAAATTCATTGAAAATTTGCTGGTAAACACAGTTTGTGACATAAATTGAAATTAGAGGATTCGGAACTGTGATTAATTGCCTTTAATGTCTTTCGCTTTGCCGGTAAACTCGGTAAAGTGGATACATCACTTGGACGTGACTGTGCTGGATATCAAATGACATTTGACCTGATATTATCGCGTAGTCGTTGGGTAAATAGATACACCAGACAGCTGTTGATTTAATTTCTATGGGTATTTTTTTTTTTGCCGCTCGATGTACATTATAGAAACCTGTGTGGTAAAGTGCACTTTAGACGGAAAAAAAATGTCGTTCTGACCCAGAAAAGTGTCATATTATTTGACGTGGAAAATGGCCTGGTATTTCTTTTGCTGTGGAAAAGAGTCATTTTTGTCAAAGAAAAGTGCCATTTGACCCGGAAAAGTGTCATTGTCGACCCGGAAAGGTGACCAATTTCACAAAAAAAGTGTAATTGTGACCTGGAAAAGTGTCATATTGGCCCGGAAAGTGTCATTTTGACCCAGAAAAGACTCGTGTCATTTTGGCCAGGAAAAGTGTCAGTTTTGACCCGAAAAATGTCATTTAAAAACTCGGGGCGAATTTACCCCGGATTCGGGTCAATCATATCTAACCCCAGGCGTACGTTTTAGTGTGGCATAATTAAGGCATGGCAAAACACCAAGCAGAACTCTAGTCAACTAACCTGTGTGTTTCCTGTTTTGCAGATCTACACAGACTTTCAGTATACCGGTAATAACGATCCTCAACTGAATCATGGGATGGAAAATAGCGGCCACCGTACTCCTGCTAGGCCTTGGCATCGCCTACATGAGTGGCCTCTTCAGTTCACCACCCAAACCACCAGAGGTCGGTGATGGCTGGTGGGGACGAGGTGACAAACCTGAGAAGGAGGAAGACAAGTCGGTCAAGAAATTCAACATCCATTTTCCGGACAAAGATCTAGCGGATTTGAAAGGTGAGAAATCAATTTGCTGTTTGAAAGGACCGCCATATTTGAATTCAAAGCGAGGCAGACAGGTAAAACAGATATCATTTGTGTCATATATATGACTTGAGATCTTTGGTTATACGTATTCCAAGTTTCGTGTTTTATTCTTGTAATTTTTCTTCTGCAATCTTCTCTTTTATTCCTCATCTCTGCAGAGCGTCTCAGGAAAACCCGATGGTTCGAGAGTGTGGAAGACACCAAGTTCAACTATGGCATGAAGCCCGAGCACATGAAGCCCATTGTCGATTACTGGCTGAACAAATACGAGTATGTTTTGAAATTATTACCCAACTAGAGTTGCTTGATGCAAGCCCCCCCCCCCCCCCGCCCAATCCTGGCGACGCCCATGTCTTTCAGGGTTGCTGTCAGTTTCAAGAAAGCAACAAAAGAAGACCATTTCGAAAGATGCGTCAGGTGACACATTTCTGGAAATGTCCATTTAGTTGTTGGTTTGTGGGTCGCCGAATCCGTGAATGGGTGCGCGCAAGCTTTGACAAGACGCACACGCGCGCGCGGCAGCTATAATTCGTCGGTTCAGTGCGTGACATCGCGTGGCTGCAATCGGCTGAATGAGAACGTGTCCCGGATGCTGATTTGTTTCTCTTTGTGGTTAAAATAATACAGTTGGCGCAAGAAGGAAAAGGAACTTAACCAGTACCAGAGTTTCAAAACGAAGATCGAGGGAATCGACATTCACTTTGTGCGAGTCGTGCCTCGATTGAAGCCTGGACAGAAAGCCAAACCCATCATGATGGTTCACGGTTGGCCGAGCTCGTTCTACGATTTCTACAAGGTAAAATGAAGACCTTCATGATTCAAAATGAGTCGACAATGATGGTTTAACAATTCATGCAAATGTACTTTGTACAAACTTAGTGTTTATTCTATACGGTTGTTGGTTCTCTCGTGACCTTATTTTAATCACCCTAAACCATTCAGAATTATATTACTAAGAGTGATAGTGCTACTACACTAGTGTTTATACCTCAGTAGACGAGAATATTGGAGAGTTTAAAAAAACAGTTTTACGTATTACAAACAATTTTGATTCTGCAGTTTCTTTATTAGACATTTTGTAGAAAGCTTAAATTGTTACTTTTTTGCTCTTCAGATGATCCCTATGTTGACCGACCCCACTCATCACGGTGGGAACGAGGATGATATATTCGAGGTTATCCTTCCTTCTCTGCCCGGCTATGGTTTCTCCGAGGCTGCTCACAAGCCAGGTATGGCCATTTCCCAAACGTTGGTTTCCTCATCGGCTTCGACTTCCATTCCAGAGCTAAAGCCTTCGCTTTGAAGTCCCTTGCTCAAAATGTTTTTTGTTCATCAAAAAGTGTTAAGTATATAAAGAACAAAAATGCAGGAGCTTATAATTATATGGGTCTCATCTCTTGATTTTGTGTGAACTTTAAACGCATCTCAAATGCCCTGGATTTCGAGACGTAGCCGAATTGGAGACAAACCCATGGTATTAGAAAGGCACGGATTTCGAGACGTAGCCGAAATTGAAGACAAAACCATGATTTAAGAAAGGCACTTCTCTCAACTTTCAAGGAAAGCATAATTGTCTGCTATGTACACAGAAAACACAAAGTGAGTAATTAGACTCACTGTCGTACAAAATGAGTCATCTTGTCCGTATAGTGACACACTTTGGCTCAAAGTGACTCACTACACGGACAAAATGACTCAATCATAACGATATTGAGTCAAATTACTCATTTTGTGTTTTCTGATGTGTACACTCATTTTTGAAAATGAGGGCGCTCTTTATTTTGGATATACAGGTCTTATGTTAGACAAAAATATTTTGTTATTGTAGGCCTGGATTCCAGGGACGCTGGCCGAATATTACACAAGTTAATGACCCGCCTGGGGTTCGACAGCTACTACGTGCAGGGAGGTGATTTTGGAGCTATTGTGGTGGACCAGATGTCGGGAATAGTCCCAAGGTGGGTACACTATTCTTTACAGCACCAAAGCATTCGCTGAGCCAAGACTCGAATCAGGACGACGTTTGAAAGATAAATTCATGAAATGGGTATAGTATCCAAAATTTTGAATAACGCATATGATCCAAAGCAGGGTGAGAGCAGGTTGTGATGGGAGCGTACTGCTCGACCCCTGGGAACGAGGTGGAGTCAGTGCTGATTCAAGTAATACTGTTGAAAGTCATTACATGTACTGGTTTATACCAACGTTACCTTCTTCGTATAAGTGAACCTTAAAAGCCTTCATGATGTCCTCATTATCTATGCAGAAATGATAAAGTAGAAATGTTATGATATTTAAATTGATATTGTTGAATACCGCATACGGGCGATTCACAATAGTGCGCCTCCAAGAGTTTGCAACGCGTTGGCCAATCACAATGCACGAAATCAGTCGACCTTTTCCAAACGCGCATTGGGTCGACCGATTTTGCGCATTGTAATTGGTCAACGCGTTGCAAATTCTTGGAGGCGCACTATTGTGAAACGACCGTATTACAATCATATGGATTCTGGTAATGGGAAAGAGCGAACGAATACTGTCTTAGCTACGATCTCGAATTCTGGATAAGATTTAAAATGGCGTCTTGGTTGTACCTTTACCAGCCACGTCCGCGGCGTCCATATGAACATGATAGCCATCCCGCCGCTAGTCAGTCAGATGATTCTTGCCATTCTGTTCCCGTCTCTGGTGCTGGAGGACAAGGCGTACGGCAGGATGCTACCGACCTGGGAAGCGATCAAGGATTATCTTAGGGAGACGGGTTACCTGCACATACAGTCGACCAAGCCTGACACAATTGGTAAGAATTCAGGTGATTCACAATGCAGTGCGCCACCAAGAGTTTGCCATGGAGAATTCATTTTTCCCAGTGCATTGTGGGAGGAGATGGTCGACAAATTTGCAGCGCGGGACATTTAAAATTGTAAGTTTTTCCGGCCAGAAAGTTCGTAAGCGTATGATTCGAGTACTGATCTGTTTGCCCTTTTCTTTTCGTTTTATCAATATGGAGTTTTTTTGTAAGGCGGCAGAAGGCTTTGCCCCAATCTATAACAAAATTAGCTCAAGTTTTCTACTGACACTCGTTCAAATGGGCCATGTTTTGTCGACCGTGACCTTGAAAAACGAACTCTCTGTGGCAAACTCTTGGTGGCGCACTGCATTGTGAATCGCCCGAATTCCAAACTGATGATAGCCCAATTGCATCCAAAATGCTCAACATTAGAAGCCCCAAGTCTGAGTTAGAGGTTTATTGCCATATCTCTTCAATTCCCCAATTTAAAGGCTCCTAGAACTCTCTAATTTAGAATATTTTGAGGGTATAACATTTATTCATAGCTCGAGGGATGGGTTTTGGCCTATTTACCGGTGTGCACCCTGAATATGATCCTGACCTTCAACCTTTTGACCCCCAGGTCACGCACTGACCGACTCCCCAGTCGGCCTCGCCGCTTACATCCTGGAGAAGTACTACAGCTCTTCCCATTACGACCGGCTTGACGTGGACGACAGAGAGCTGAGCGCTCATTGGTCCACCTCATGGGACTACCTGCTGACTAACGTCATGATCTATTGGGTATCTGGCAGCATGACGTCATCCATGCGCTTTTACAAGGAAACCATGCCCAAAGCCCTAGAACTAGCAAAGTAAGTGCGTGTTGTTTTGTTTTCGGTAGGGGGGGGGGGGGTCGGAATGAAATTTAAAAAGTGAAATCTGAATATTAAACTGCAGTGATAGCAGCAAAAAACGTGAAAGTTCAATTTCAACAAATCAATTGTTTACGGGTAGTTCAACAAAACGATAAAAATGACAGCAACTTAAACGATAAACAATGTAACAATGCCATGGAGATATCAGCACAGAAACATGCCAAAAAACGCAGTGCATCGTACACTGAAGGTCGCTGGTTCTCGGCGGATTTTTGACAAGGGCATACATTCGCTGAGCAGCGTTTTCTGAAGAAAAAAAATCTCCAAGAAACTGGACGCTGTTCCTTCGCCGGGATCATTCTTACAATTTTGCGGTTTTTTTTAAAAAACGATTATCTGGTGGATAGAATAATGGTGCAATTTGGTGTGAAAACTTTTGTTTAGACTGCAAAAACGGCTTTTAACAATTAAGCACTTTTTCTATACACTTCCTTAGTATCACTGAATGTTAACGAATGTGTTTAAGTACATAACAAGTTTAAAGTATTGACGAATATAATATTTAGGCATTCACATTGATGGGTAGGAATTGGAAACGTATTAATGTTTAGCTTCTAAACATGTTTAGCTTACAAGGTGTTAGCGAAATTGTTTTTAATTACCAAGTTCACTGGCGGATCAAGGTTCATTTAAATACAGGAATACAAAGGGATAGATGGGGCACAGCCCGACTTATTCCATTATATTGCTGTATTTTAATGAAGCCGGATGGGCCACTGAAGTTTGGACAGGGTATCTAAAAAATTAAACCAATCTTCTCGCAATATCAGCTTCATAACTGTGTCCACCTTATATCTCAATGGGCAAATGTGCACTCTTTTATCATTACCTTTCAGCTTCTTAAACACCGTACCGGCAGGATTGGCAGACCTGCCCCGAGAGTACTTACGCTGCCAGAAGAACTGGGCGTCCACTCACTTCACGGACATCGTCTCCTACACGACGTACTCCGCGGGCGGCCACTTCGTGGCTCTCGAGGTGCCCGAACTACTGGCCAAGGACCTCCGACAATTCACGCAGAAGGTGGAGCAGCGTCTGGTGAAGAAAAAGGAATAAACTGAGCTGAAAATTAGTCAGATATCACGATCAGGGCTAAATGCATATTCCGTTCTCAAAACAGCGAATGTGTATACAAACCAAATTGCATGTCTCCAGCCAGTTCTGCGATCAACAAGTACTTTGGAATGCCAACTCTTTCTTTATAGCCAGTGCTGGAAACCGTGTTTCAGTTTCTTCCATCTTGACGCCGTCTCAGATGCCGTCCTTAAAAACTAACGGGAGGTTCTCATTCATTGCAGTGGCTAGTAGACTTAAATAATTGGTACTTGTATTTTCAAAGGTCCATCATTTTATTGTCATCTAGTCTCATTTTATTTGCCATCAAAGAACAGAAGGAAGTTGTCATTGTTCCAGTTGTCATTAATTTTATTCGCTGCTAGCTATCCATATTTTAAAAGGTCCATCATTGCTTTTGTCATTTTTATTTGTCATGGTGTGTACATTCATCATCGTATTTATAGCATGAAGACTAGCTTTAGAGAAGTTTTCAATTTTAAATCAAAGATAAGTTCATATACAGTTTGTAATAATATTGTTTAAAACTTAATTGTTTAAAACCGTTGGACTTGTAATTACTGATAGTGTATTGTTTATATAGTGAGCTGTCCAACAATAATGTAATTGCCCTTTTTAAGGATAATTAACGTATTTTGAATTTAATTGAATTGATTATAAAGGCTTAGCGCATGCGCAGTTGAAAACTGCGTCACATGCGCATATAGCCCAATAGTTGTGCAACGGGGGTGCGTACAGGTAGCTTTGGTTCGGTCAAGATCAGCCAAAACACTAGAGGGCGCTACAACAAACTTAGGCTGCATTTCAAATAATGTTGATTCTGAAATATGATTCCATCGGCGGAATTTTCAGACAGATGTTATGCACTCTGAATATTTCCTAATCGGTGTTTTATTGTTTTGATCAACTTTAAGAGAACATTCCAAGTGACTCTTAAAACTGACAATTTTTGAAGAAAAAAAAAACATAAAGGTGTGTAAATATATAAATCAAATAATTTATAGAAATATGCAACAATAATCATGTTTAGCTTTAAAACGTGGGAAGAGTGTTCCGCATTTGTTTGCCTTTTATTAGTTAGAGTTCCGCTTACATCTTTAGAATACATAATGTATGTGGAACACACATCAACTGTTTTGTTTTAGATTTAAGACCAACAAATATTAATAACTTTTTTTCAAGTACTTTTTTATATACATGCATGAAATGAGGCAACTAAAAATGCAAAGCATAATCAGAAAAATAGCAAATCATAAATCAGAAAATGTTTAATCTTTCCCGATGGTCCTACAGCGTACTAGAACCACTAACCACGTCTATATATGTTGTAAATTATTCATTTTTAACAAATCTTCATGGTGTCCAAAATGCAATGCACGTTTCCAGCAAGAAACATTTTGTTTGAAGTAGAGAATTGCGACTGAATAATAAATGTTTGCTCATTTTTCGCCGTCTTTATTTTGTTGACAAGTCATGCTTTACCCTTGGGTCATTCTAAGCTAAGACAGCCAACCAATATGACAAGAAAACAACCTTCCAATTTTACCTTGCCTCGGAGCCAATTCATCTCCGTCGAACTTTAATTAAACTCCTCAAAATAGCCTCTCTGGCAAACTGCCATTCATCACGCGATCCCACTTCTCACATGCGCAAAATGGCAGTGCGTGATTGGGACTCTATTTTGACAAGGTATTAAAGTAAAGCTGATGTGCACTTACATTTTGTAATATCCCGGACGAAATTGCCTGAAAAGGAAATGATATGCGCTTCACATCTGTCGTCCATGTTAATATTGCAGTCTGTGATTAATGAAGTGGTTGTATTCGAGTGACTCCTAGTATGAAAACATTCATTATTCACAAAATCATTAACTTCGTATACACGTATTGTAAGACAGACATACAGGGTGAGTAAAAAAAATGAAACCTAAATGCCAGGACCATTGTTTTGGTGAAGTTCTGCATGTAGACTTTCAAAATCTAGGATATGACAGCCCAAATTCATAAGCTTTCGTTTAGTACACGAATCATTCAAATCACACATGAACTTTTCAAGTTGCGGAATTTTAAACACAACCACCGTTTTAAAGTTCTGTCCACGATCATAATAGAGGGATGTGCGTCAATTGTTTTCGTTTTGTTGAAAGAACGCACAGCGAGGAAATAGACAGACTCCAATGAGTATACTTGCCATAAAAGTTCATTGACGCAAATTGCCTACCGTGGAGACACATAGAGTCGATTTTTCCGCACAGCACTGGTAGAGGGCGCTGTCATGCGCTATATATTCCAAGGCCTTCCTTATAAGTCCGCGTACTACAATTTATAGATCGGGGCGGAGTGACGTCAACCGATGAAAACATATATTCATTTTTCGAACAATTTCCATTGGTTGCTATGTGTTACCATTCAGCACTCCAGACTACAGAACCATTAAGTTTCAAGAACGTAAGTCTGGGAGCTAGACAAGTAAATTTAAACAATTCCCGGATGTCCACGCCCACCTATAAGTTAAAATGACACTGGGTAATTGACGCAGTACTACGACCACGATTCGGTGCATTATAGTTAATTGCTTTTAGTAAGGGAAAGTCAAAACATTTAAATAATGTGAATGTTCATCACGAGCAAAAGCAAAAAATAGCCGGATTCATTACTCGTTTAATTTAAAACCCAGGGTTTTAAAGGGAAAATACCAGTCATTCTAGAACATGGTTTGCACAACACATCACCTGAGCGCAATAATTGTCACTCAATTAGTGTAAGCAGAAGTGTGTCAATTTGATTTCTAATTCACGGACAGAGTTAAGTTAATTGGATGGCGTACGTTGCCTGTTATGAGACAAGGAACTCAAGGCTTGGTTCACTGTGAGGATTTCATTGATCATGGTCAATATTCGGGCAAGAATTTGTCCTTGATATGTCTTGTGCCGATGGCGACTTGTACAAAGGTGGTGTTATACATATATATACCGATCACGTGACACTTATCAAAAGTTTCATGCTGTGGTCACGTGACGCATGCTTTTACAGTAAATGCAAATGTTTTAATCTTGAAAGTTTAAAGCTTTATTCATCTGGGATTAGAAGAATATTAATTCCAGCGGCTAGTAGAACGAACTTATTCTTGGGAAATATAAAACAATTTGGTACTAATGAGTTTACATCGAATTAAATAGTTTGAAATAATTTGCGAATGTTGCACGAAGCCGTATCAGCGTCACGATTGTTACCATTGGCCACTGAGAAAGAGTCTACCATCAAAATGTCACGATCTCTTAAACGTTTCCCGAATAAAACCCCTCGATGCCAGTACATAAATACCACTATTGCAAGATAGCTCATGGCTGATAACTCCCAGCCTCTTCCGCTTGTAAAAACGACATCATCGTTCCTTCACGCCTGAATGCCTAATTACCAGAAGCGAGACGATGCAAACACACACGATACCGGGGGACGAGACCTCATCCACCCCCGCCGTTGCCTTGGTCACGCGTTACCGATGATGATGGCGACCGCGAGTGCTATCGTAGGTAGATAGCACGAAACAATAGAAACACACACCAAGGTGGTAGCTACAGCGATATGTGTACGGGCGTGCGGCGACGCCACTACGGCCTATATCGACGCACTGCACGCGTTCCGTCGATGCCATTTTCGCTGGCGTAATAGCACTGTGAGGCTGGATGGGATAATATTGCAACATGAAGGCATAGATGTGGCGTGCTGATAACCCAATTTCTATACACCCGCATCGTCATTTCAGGGAGAATATAACCGTGATGGAGTCTTATATATTCTCCCTCCTTCTGGAGTAATATTACTAGATGGTCGACCGATAACCTTACCATTCTGTGTTATATGGAGATAGTGTGTAGCGGTGGAATTGCAATCTACTAAACGAGCGCGTGTATTCTCGAGGAGGTAAGTCATTCATTATTGCTTTCATGATGACGCCGGTAAACAAAGAGCATTTTATTGCATGTTTCACGATGGTAACAATACGAATGGTTTATGGGATCACTCGACAATGTTTGGAATATCTAAAGCGACATTAAGGGTACTGTAGACAACAATGGAAATACGGACTGAGCCTTACCCGTGTGTCATTTCTGGCAACAAAGTCGATATGAATAATTAAACAAGTACAGTTTAAGAATTGGATATCAGTTTATAGTCTAAATTTACGGGCTTTAGCATTAGAATTATATAATCTACATCATTGGGATAACAAGAAAAATAGAACCGGCGTTCTACCTTTTTCTTTAGATTCCACTTTTAGGAATGAAACATGTCAGGGAAAACGTTAATTTACCGTATACAAATTCAAAATATTGTATTTCTCAAAAAATCTGCCCTCATTTTTAAATTTTTGTACCGACCAATACTTGTTCCTTTGAATGAGGGAGCTTGATGATGGCCTTTCCTTTCAACGTTTGCCTACATGCATAATACAGTATCTTAATGACCACTTACCCATTAAATAAATTGCTAGTGGTGCCAAGAGAAATTGCATGTACTTTTCTCGATTACAGACCCACAATAAAGGTACCATTAACTTATGCAAACATCTGCTTTTCTCTTTTTTATACATTGTGTTGATCGCATTTTACTGACAATCATATCTTATCAACAGAAATCCATAAATAGACTTTCCAAAACAAATACATATTTGCGTTTAATTTTCCTGGTATATTATAAAACAAAACACAAACGTTTGCATGGGTGAATCATCCACATCGCTTTTCAAAATAATCACTGACAGAGTTAAATTAAGAATGGAGGTATAAAGCGATCGCATTTATGCTAACACCTGGTTGTTTATTAAGAAAGGCAGGATGCAATTATCTGCACACTGCATCAGTCCTTGCAATCAATTCATCATCTCATGAACGGGCGTTTAAACGAAGGTAAGTATACGCCAGTACACATACATTTTCACAACGCGTGAAACTACGAGTTCATGCGGCAAGCAGCGAGTGCTGCGAGCCAGGGTTCGACCGTGCCAACGCGACATGCCGAGGGCAAAGGTGCACCTCTTTGCTCGCTAAACGGAATCGAATTGCCCGTTGCGCGGCGGGACATCATTAAAGATTGAAACTTAAACCTCCTTAAACGGCTGTTTGGACGAGCATTAAAGAGAGATTATGGGAGATTTGAGATAATCGGGAATCCAGACCTCAGGTGCATAGGCTTCTGGTCGGGAAAGGTAAAGCGGTAAATGAATTTGTTTTTGTATAAAGCTGCCCCCAAACTTTCTTCGTCCATTAATATTTTGAGTGCTGGAGTAGCTAGCGTGTTATATTTATTTAAACAGTTTGTATTCAATGTACCAGGAACATTTATCAAGACATGATATTTCCCCCTACATCCGTGCTAACTTCCAAGTGTTCCATTTTCGTCTTCATGATAATTAAGCATCCATGGAAATCTAGAAGAGCTGCCAAGATCAAATTATAGGTTTTGCCCTTCACCGACGTTTAAACTCTGTATACTCAGTGTGTTACCTCCCGAGTGAAAGTTGGAAAAAATCACTCGGGTAGGACTCGAACCCACGACCTCCTGCTTTCTAGTGCAGATGTCTTCCCACTCGACCATCTTAAAAAAATTCCATCCTTTAATAGGAGAGCGGCAGTTGTTTTCTGTTTTCCTTTTGAATATTTCAAATGCATCATCAATACGTGACTTGAGTGCTTAAACTAGGTATTTTTTTGTAAAATTCTACGACAAAAACTGCATAAAAGCTGTCTGTTGTCAGATTCCCGTCGCGTGCACGGCCATTCAACCATTTCTAATGTTTCAATGTTGTGAGCTGAGTGCTTTAAGGCACGCAGGTGCACTCGGTCCTTCCTGAGTATATGTTCTCAAAATGTACTTAAGATAACTGTTCATTTTATTTTTATTCATTTTTTTTTGAGACAGCAGAAAATCGATGTTATTAACGTGTCCAAAATGGAATATCTGAGCGGTCAATGTTTTGTTTGTCAATTGTATTTTATTCATTAATTCAACAATGTTCGTGACTTTGCAAACAGAAAGCTTAAACAATAAGTCTGCAAATCACACAATAAAATTGGCCGCTGACTAGTTATGCTTGAAATTATTAATTTCAAAACTATAAATATTTGAGAATTGTGCATCAATTGTTAAGAATGCAAGCATCCCGAGATGAAAATCAATTCCTGTGTTATGCATGGTATGGAATTTATTACTCCATAAAAATACGAAAATGAATAATTTGTTGTAATGTCCTGTGTGTGAGAAGCATGCAGCTGCTTACAAAACTTCTATTTATAGATTTTATAAAACGGTGATATGCATTTTAATGATGTAACACATACGGTGCCTGGGTTTGGCCTTAACAAAAGTCGGGCTTGCATTTCAAACAAATTATATTTCTCTCGATTTATTTCTCTTCGGTTATTGCTCATCTAAATTAAACACAAAGTTATCGACGCACTCACATAACTTCCGCAACACGACTCAACGAAGCGCGGTGATTCATTAATTTTCCTTAATCTCTGCACAAACAAACGGGCTTTCGCCTTTTGGCATTCACACATGCAAACTTAGATATTGCATTTTAAATTATATTTCTCTTGCTTTTTTTCTCATCTGAAAACTGCTCCATTCCATGCAGTCAGAGGATGCCATGACACCACTCGCCGAAAACACAGAGCCTCAGTACATTTCACTTCTGCACCAAACGAGCTTTAGCAGGTTCGCCTTGGGTTAGAAAGTGCAAGGTCGTAAAACGCAACTCGCTTGACAGCTACGGATGAAAAAAAAAACCCACGACTATACATGAAAAATATCCTTCGTGAACTCCGCTGCTCAAAATTGCGATAAGAAACTGACTGTCATTATGCCTTGACGCTTATATTCGATTGTATCACGCGGGTCGCGTGAGGATTTTTGTTGTTGATAACTAAGACTTGTCTCGCAGCTGCATTTTTGTTATCTAGACAGATCCAGCGGCAGCCATTTTCTGCGCGAGTCGCGCTCAGGTAGTACGCACGCACTCCTGGCTCCTTCGACCAATAGGAATACCAAAATGCGCGCGCGCCTCGTAGTTAAGAACGCGTGCAACATGCGCGTGAGCGTGACATATACTGGTCACCGTATCCAGCAGCCATGTTTGATTTGCTTTTGTTATAGAACCTAATGCGCCTATCGAACCGGTTTTTTTTTTAAAGTAAGACATGCATACTGTTTGATAGCATGTATACATTTCAGAAAAATTTGTTTTCAGATTAGTTTAATAACGTGCTCTTGTAAGATATACTTAATTGGTTTATCAAATTGTATTGCTTTTTAAGAAAACGAATACTCCAGGTCACTTTCTTTTTGATTCCCTGTAAATCTGCCTGCGAGGAAAACCTATCCACTGGACCCGAGCGCGCGTTTTGTCCGAACTACTTCGTACTTACCTACCCGCATTTTAAATTATTAATTGCAATAACGAGTCCATGGTGGAAAACATACGGCGGAGGGCTTCAACGAAACGAATCTCAAGGGTAAACTGTCGGCAAACGCGGCGGTTAATGAGGGATCGGCAGAGGTGAATTATCGGCGTCTTGTTGTTCACCGAGGTTATTTACTGTGCACGCCGCAAATTGCGGGCTCCGTAGGGAACACGGTTAGTGACACGCATTCATTTGGTGTGCCGTTCATCAACGCGTATCGCACACTGAAGCTCATCAGCGTACTGGATGTTGTGTAGAGTAATAATGTTCCTTGAAACCAGCCACATGGTCGATCCTTTCATACATTCAAAGGATTTTCTACAAATTAAAACCGTGGCAATTTTGTCAATAGGGGCCTACTTATTCGGTGTTGATTACACTGACCAATCAATCACTTAGTATTTACCAATAACGGTAAGGAGTCATCTAAATGTCAGGATAATTTGCGGACATGTTTATCCGAAATAGGCCCGCTGCATCGGGTATTAGTGGCAGGATTCTAAACAACTTCCATTACATTTTCCCACAATGAAGTTTTAAGGTTGTGCACTTTGCTGATTGCTTCACTGCGGAAAGATTCTTGGGAAAGTTGTTCAAAATCATGCAACTAATACATGAAACTTGGGATGAACGTACACTGCCACAAGTTATAGCGGATATTTAATGAGGCGATCCACGGTGTACCAAATTGATGTCTAAAACGTATTTACTGACTCTTCTTTTTGCTTGATCAATTCTCACAGGTACGACGCCTTGAGGTGCTAGGTCAACTCTCAGTCACCTTAGAAATGTAATTAACTGCAGACCTTGACCCCTGATCCTTCACCTCTAGAGGGCGCTATGAGGGGTAAGAAGTCCCACCTGGGCGGCGGGGAGACCCCTATCATCTCAGGGGACCTGGAGTCCTACCCGGAGCTGGAGATGAGCACCACGGACGCAGACATCGCCAAGATGAAGCGCAGAGAGAGGAGAAAAAGCCGCCTGTCGGTGGGAGACTCCTGCTACCAGTTTCTGCCGGCATGGCTCCGGTATCAATTCAAATCCGCGTCCATGGAGGCGACCTACCAGACTTATTTCACCAGACAGAGGCGTGACGCCTTACCGGTCCTTGCCGGTTTTGCTTTGCTCTTCGACTTCGTGGTCCTGGCCCTGTACATCTTTAAGAGCCTGAGCACTGCCATAGCCATTATGGCGATCACCACAGTCACTAACCTGATCGTGTTTGCATTATGCCAGTACAAACTAGTCACTGACTGGACACTTCTGCATGTTATGCCTTACGCTGTTTGGTGTCTCCTGACGGGGCAGACTGCCGTGGACTTGGTGTTTTACTACTTCCCGATGTCTCCCAGCGATGGGGTCGGATGGCAGGTGTTCTTCATTTTTGCTTCTTTCGTCATGCTGCCGATCCGGCTCCGGTACATCCTGGTGCTTAGTCTGTTCAATGTTATCGTTCACAGTGTTATGGTGGGAGTCATGTCAACGGTGCACGTCTCCAATCTTGGCGCCCAGGTAAGACATTTCACCATCCTTGGAATAACAATTTCTGTCAGGTAAAGCAGTGGATTTCCGATTGGATGGTTAAGGGTTTGAATCCACCTCAACGCATGACTAACATTAATAAAGTTAACATCAGCAGGTAAATTAATTCACTTAGTAACTATGACACTTCAAATGTCTGTTGGTAGATCACTGAATTTCTGATCCGATGGTTGAGGGTTCGAATCTACCTATACAGTTGTGATGGGTAGAATCTAACTTCCAAAAACACCCGATGGTCCAAGCTTCGAATCCACGACCTTCCTCAGTTAACAACCACAAACGTTTCCTAAGTCACTTAAATTGTGCACTAACTGTTCTCCACCGAGCTATTTGGAGGTCTAAAAAAGTTATTTGTCATAAACGCAGGGGACTACCGACAGTAAAAAGTAAAAGCACGAAAAGGTTCAACTACTCCCGTACGACACCAAAAGAGCCCCTCTCCAGCTAACCGGACGGGCTTTTTTTTTAACAAGTTATGAGGCAAAAAACCTGAAAAAATTCCATTCTAGCCAAAGATCACTACCGCACTTTGTACTCAGGAAAAAAATTCTCATGAAAAATAAGGATTTGTCCTCCTAATCGAATTTTGCGCCTCGTAGACTGCCAAAAAAAAAATAAGCCCCGAAGCATGACCAGATTGACTGGTCTATGAGACTGGTCTATGGGGCGGATACTGTGAAAATTGCTTTTCATCTCTAGAGAAATAGGTAATATCACAAATGAAGGTTAAAGCGGCGACTGTAGCATAGTGTTTGTTTTGTAGGAGGGTGAAAATTGGATTAGAAAGTCGTCCGAATATGAGCTCGCACTCACGGCTGCTGGGCAATATTCCAATAGGTATACAGGGTGAGTCCGAATGACCGGAGGAAGTTTACATTTTTCCTTGGGTAGGTAGGTAATTTGACAGCAATTTATAGACCTCATGAATATTCATGATCTATTTTTGTTTGATGTTCAAATAACCGCCTCTTATAAGTGCTCACGCAATTAACCCCAGCCCCCATTCTCAGATACTATAGTACAGGGTGAATAAAAAAAACCATGAAACCCAAATGTGGGACCATTGTTTTAGTGAATTTCTGCATGTAGCACTTTCAAAAAATCTAGTATATACAAACCCAATTCACAAGCTTTCTTTTAGTACAAGAATCAATCAAATCACTCATGTACTTACGGAATTTTAAACACAACCACCGTTTTAAAGTTCTGTCCACGGATCACAAAAAAAGGTCAGTGTTATTTCAGCAAAACGAAAACAAATCACATAGGGATGTGCGTGAATTGTTTTCGTTTTGATGAAAGAACTTACACCTTTTTTTGTGGACCGTGGACAGAACTTTAAAACGATGGTTGTGTTTAAAACTCCGTAAATTGAAAAGTGCATGAGTGATTTGAATGATTCTTGTACTAAAAGAAAGCTTATGAATGTGGCTTTTATATCCTAGATTTTGAAAGTGCTACATGCAGAACTTCACTAAAACAATGGTCCCGACATTTGGGTTTCGTTGTTTTTTTACTCACCCTGTACAAGTACATCTGCCACAACATTAACCCTAACTCCCTAGGGGGTGTGCAAAATCGTATTGAAATTGGAGGATTCAGGACTGTTTGGGCTATACTTAAAGATACAAGAAACAAATAATTAATCTGAACCCAGTTAAGACACACAAAGCGCCAAGTCACACCAAAACTCCAATCAAGATCTAGAAGCGTGCCAAACTTCGCCCATTCTTCTACTCCACTCATAACAATCAATTCTCCTTGATTATTATTATTTTTAGATAGGAAAATAGGAGAAAATAATAACCCAACACACGTCACCGTTGCCTGGCAGTTCATTCAATATATTTTCTTCGTTGCGAGTTATTTTGTTCCCTCTTCTCATGCTTGATTCTGGCGGACAACTATCTGATTTTATTCTCCCAAGTTGTAATTGCATTCCACGCTGCATGTTGTTGCAGCTAGGTTTCAAAAGAATTGCGGGAGTTAATTTCAATTTCTCTCGTTCCACTGCGGAGGCCACGTGTAATGTGATTTGAATGTTATCCTACTCGAACAACCTCCACGACAGAGTAGAGGTTTCTATTTGCAAACCCTAATATCGAAAGCAATATCGCTCTACAAGGAGAACATACTGGCGTTTAGTGATGTGGCGGGAACATATACATTTCCTCCATCCATATCAGGAAAAATCACTGACGCTGTTTTGAGTGGTCGTCCTTAAAGTCTCAAACACAGCTCTTGACACTCACAACCAAATGGATTCTGAGGTCCTTCAAGCCGTCATTCTTTTCTGCAGATCACCAAGTTGCATTTTTCGTTTACTTAAAATGTTCTTTACTTGTACATGAAGGGCCTCGGTATACTCTTTTCTCACATTCTCTTGTGTTGATATGAAATTGTATTATGTTATTCTTAATAACCGTCCATCTTTCAAGAAGGGGGGGGGGGCTTGAGATCAATCGAAATATGTTTCATCATCCCGTAGTAATGAAGGTATCGACCTTCACAAGACTACCTAGGGCTATGATTTTTCATCTCAGTAATGACGTCCGTTCGTCAGACGAGTACGAAACAAATGCTAGCAAGCAAGGTCTCTTAAAAAAATTGAGGCCTAGGGGTTCGGGTACGTTATAAATAGACTGAGACACCTTCACCAAGAACAAGAATAATTACTGTGTCGTGAATTCTTAAGTATCAAACATTATAAAAAATATTAAAATGACGTTTGTAAAGTGTCAAAATGACGCATTAAAAGGTATCAAAATGAGGTATCATCATGAGGTATCAAAATGAGGTTTCAAAATATAAGGTATCCAAGTTAGGTTTCAAAATGAGGTTTGAAAATAAGGTTTCCAAAAGAATCAAAGTAAGGTATAAAATGTATTAAAATGAGGTGTAAAATGTGTCAAGAAGAGGTTTCAAATGGTATTAAATAAGCCGGAATGATACCAAATGAGGAATAAAAATGAGGAATAAAAATAAAGTATAAAGGTATTAAAATAAGGTATATAGAAACGTTCTAAAATGATGTTTCAAAAGGTATCACAATGAGGTCTAACGGCATCCAGTTAAACCATAGCACCACTGCTTGAATCTCATCCACACGGAACTTCACGGCAGACCTATTTTTATTTCCAGCCTTTTTCCCTTTGAGATTGCACAGCACTCTTACACCTCATCAAATTCCACCCGTCGGGAACAGCAAGATGTGTGCGTGCATATTACCGTGCCTCTTGGCTTCGATATAAGTGTCCGGTTTTTTTTGCTTGGCCACGCATACGCACCATGCTTGCATCATTGCATGCATAGTGCAACCTTGTTATCACCGTTCAGGCGCTACCAGTAAATTTACATTCGTTATCACCTTTTCGACAAACAGCCAGGTAATTCGCGTGATGGTGTAACATTAAAGCTCTCTCTACCTTACTGCAGAAACCTCATTGAACCTCACTGTAACATTCACTGTACTTTTCTGGGAAACAACTCATAATAAAAACCTCAACGTCCACTCTACCTCACTGTAAAACCACACCTAACCTCATCGTAAAAATAGTTCGCTATAAATTCTCTGTACCTCTCTTGGACACCATACTTTATGTCATTGACAAAAACTCTTATAGAAAGCTTAAGTTGTCCACTGTACCTCACTGTATAACCACAACTAACCTCATCATATAAGGCACTTAGCTGTAAATCCTCATGGTACCTCACGTGACCTTACCTTGATGTAAAAGCCTCTATGTACATCACCGTACTTTAGGCCTAATGTAAAAACCCGCCGTGGCTCAATGCATCCCGCTTATAAACCTCACCACGACTAACCGAACCTCACTGTACATCACCAAAACACCTCAGTATAAACCTCACCGTGACACAGATTTTTTTTTCTTCATGAAACCGATTTTTACCCGTGCGAGCCTGTAAGTTCAATAATCACCTTTCTCAATTATTACCAGAAGGCCACAAAAAGCTATATGATATTTATGGTGATCAATACGTACTATCAGGAGAAAAAACGAGTTATTTCCTTCTTTATTGTTAACCAAAAGCTGTCAATAATGGTTGAGATATCGTTAAATAACAAAAACCACAAAAGCACACTAACTTTGTAATTTATTTCGAAAAAAAAAATGCTGGTCCAAGCCCATAGTCCTCTTTAAATCTCACTGACTCACTGTCACTTGTGATCCGGGCAGTGTTATCGTATAGGTTAACTCTGTAACGTCAATGAATGGGCTATATAAAACTAGCCATTGTGAATCAGTGGAATAGAATTTTGGGAGCTCTGCTTTACTTGGCTTTCCTTTGTCTTGTCTGTCATTTCACTGTCAATTTATTCTCATTATCCATTGCGATACTGATATCTTACGACTCGCATGCGTGCCTGCATTTAAATTGGTATGATTATTTCAATAACCCTGCTTCGGTCTGCCGTCTTAAAACGGCACACGGAAATTGGTATCATATGCAGTGATACCAAGGGTCTATAAAATGGATAAAGCATGTACAATATCACGCCATAGTACTCTACAAACATCCACACCCGCCCTCGAAATGTTAATTTCCAATTTGTATTCATAGTTTTTTTGGTATGAAGTGGATTAGGAGACGGACTTTCATCATGGCAAACAGGCGGGACGAATATTGGAATATGCAGGTGGTTGCAAGAAATATGCAATGGTTGACATGTATAAATATCATGTATAAGCTCCGTTTCTCACAGCCCACTTAATCGAGACGTATCTACTCCGAAAAGCAGGCCATAAAGAGACTAGAAATAACTCATCATGAATTCTATCAAATAGAACATAAGGTATTTGAGAAAACAATAAGATTTGTTAAAAACCATCATTAACATCTTGAAATATGTTGTCGAGTTTCGCATTTCCAAGGTAACATCTGTCTTTTTAAACAGTGATAAGGTTGGAACCATTGCTGCAGGTAATAAATAAAAAATAATAAATATT